TACGATTTTAGTGCAATAAGTATCCAAATATTATCATACACAAGTTATGTAAGTTATGTAAGTCCTATAGTTAAGCCCTTGGCTCCAAGTTGGAGCATGGGCTATCAACAAAAAGCTTCCAAAGACGTCTCTTTTCTGCCAACTGCTGCAGCTCCTTCCAGTTCTTCCCGTGTACCTCCATCTCTTCTTCCCTATCCCTCCTCCAGGTATTCTTGGCGGCCCCTCTTTCACTTCCCCTGCGGATTCCAATGTAGAGCTTGCCTTGTAATACTGCATGTTTGAAGGTCTTCTCAACGTGTGGCCTACCGACGTCCATTTTCTCTTCCTCACTTGCTTGACCATTGGTATTTGACCTGTCCGGTCCCAGAGCTCTTCATTTGTGATCTTGTCCATTGTGACCAGGTTTTCTGAAGGGCAATTACCAAATTAGGTGATATAAATTACTATACCAGGCAAAAAATTACTACGCATGCAAACATTTATCCCGCATTATCATTGGTAGTTCCAAATCTTCCAAAATATCCCTACTTTACCCTAACAGAAACGTATAAATAATTATTGTTTTGCTGTGGAAATGACCTAGGACACGACAAACAGGGGCTGCTTATGGGAAACGGGATAGGGCCTATCGACATGATAGGGATTTTTTCAACCTTGTAAGAATGCTTGAAAAGTAATAAAGCTTTCTGTAATTTTAAGAAAAATTACTGTAGTAATCATTAAACATTTCCATTTACTACAATCATCCGAAAAATTACTAAAAATTACCAAAAGTAATTAAAATTACTAATTCTGGTCACACTGATCTTGTCTGTCCACCGTATCTTCAGGATTCGACGCAAACAATGATTAACATCTGATTGTAACTTTCTTGTCGTTTTGACTGTCATCCTCCACGTCTCTACCCCATATAACAGCACAGATTTTACATTAGAGTTGAAAATTTTGTTTGAAATGTTAGTCCTATAACTATAACCAATTTTTATAGTTATTTATCCAAATTTTAATACCCCAATGGACGCTTTATGAATTAATTCCTTTTTTGCACTATCCCTTAATCCCCACATTGTCCCACAGGGTTAAGGCCTTTTGACTGTGCAGTCCAATCCATTTTTATCACTCCCTCTTCCTGAAACTATTGTTTGACTATATCTTGGAAGTGTGGCAGGTTGAATTACATTATTGAAATATTGCTTGGAATAAGAGAATTATCCAAAATGCCTATGAAGCTCTGTCCCAAATTCGCTTCTTTTTTATGAATTTGTATCTGAACAGTTCTTTTTGACCGCTAGTGTACAATAAAAGATTGATTGTTACGATTCCTGTTACATACGATAATAGCAACATTTGAGCAGTTCTTTTTGACGTACCGCCAGTGTACAACAATTCTAAAACTGAAACTGACATTTCCTGCCGTGTTTCAACACTATCCACGGATTCCAATTGTGACCTAAGGCTATATTCACTACATTCTTTTCGAGCAACACTGGTAATTTAACTCCTGCCCATTATTGAAGCGATATGAACATGACCCTAACTGTGTAACGTTGTATTGACATTATATTCTGTCTCATTTCATTAATACTTTTCACCTGTCATATAATGTGGACTACAAAGGATAATCCTATCAGCAATGGTATTCAGGGTGTGGACAGTAGCGTAGCCAGCCTGACGATTTTGTCCCGCTATGTAAATTTCGAGTTATTATATGTACAGGGTGTCCCCAAAAAACGAAAACTATTGAAATCACTCATTGTTAAAATTTGAATGCCGTGTTCACGAATTACAGCCCGTAGGGATTTAATGCAACTTATAAATTGCTAAATGCTTTGTGTTGCTAGAGAAAGGGGACTTGTCGAAGGTCATGGTCCTTGAGATGCACATTTAAATAATGTTATCCATAATTGTAAATTGTAAATATTGTTAATAAATATCATTTTGCGAACAAGCAAATTTTATTGCATCATATATGCATGCATAAAAATGAGTACCGTAATTACTCGAATAAACGCCTCCCTCGAATAAACGCCGCCCTCGAATTAACGCCGCAGGTACAAGCAAAAATATCATTAAACGCCGCCCTCAAATAAACGCCGCAACCTTTTCGTCATTGCGGCGTTTATTCGAAGTATTTATTTATAACCACGGTTCAATTTTCATATATAATGATATAAATAGAAAAGACACATAACTTTTATACTTAGTTTTTTTGGGGACTAATTGTATTGGTTGAATTGACGTTTGAATTACACAATAAATTCAGAGTTGTTACGAGTTTGCAATAAACGCCTCCCTTGAATAAACGCCGCCCTCGAATAAACGCCGCATGTTATTTGCTAAAAATTTAATAAACGCCGCGGCGTTTATTCGAATAATTACGGTATACATGGCAAACATTTATACACCTATGGGTCCCAACAGAGTGCTTAGGCATTCAAACTCTAACAATTGCATTGTTATGGGTGATTTCAATAGTTTTCGGTTTTTTTGGACACCCTGTACAGGGTGTATAAAAAAAACGCAACCACTTAATATTCATGAATATCCTCTTTGTTCTACAACACAAAAGACGTTTGGCCCCTGGAATGCGAGAAAGCTTGTAATCATATTTTAGCGGCACAATCGTCGGTAACAAAGTCGGGTGCGTAAACCAACGAGCTGAATTGAAAGTATTTAACGAGTAAAATTTTATTTATAATTTATATTACAAAGTCGACAGTTAGCATTCAAGTTATCATGCACGACGTTGTTCGGTTGTTAGCTGCACCATTATTAGTTTAGCTTATTCGACGATTAGCAGTTGAACTGTACGATTAGAAGCCATTTTAAAATCCCAGGGGCATAAAATCTATTGAGCTTATGAACAATATGAATTTTAGAATATTAAGTGGTTGCGTTTTTTTTGATACACTCTGTATACTGTACAGGGTGTCCCAAAAAAACGCAACCACTTAAATATGCAAGAATATTAATATTGTTCGGGTTTGCACCATAGTTCAGCTAAAATGACTTTTAGCATTGTAAATGAAGGATTAAGAGCCATTTTCAATTCCCAGAGGTGCTTATCTATTGCGCTTTAGAGCTGTATTAATGTTCTGCATATTTAAGTGGTTGCTTTTTTTTTGGGACACCCTGTATATTCATGTCTTTAGAAATCTATTGTTTTCACAGTCAGTGAACACTAAAATATTAGCATAGCGGGACAAATCGACAGGCTGGCTACGCTACTGGGTGTGGATCCAGCCACCAGTGCACTATTTGCATGACACAAGAAAACTGCTAAAAATAACCACTTTGCTTTGTAAATTGGTGCACTACAGGGTGTATCAAAAAAAAGGAGACCTTTAGAAATCAAGCTATTGTTAAAATTTGAATGCCTTTTCAATTGCATTTGCACATATGCTGAACCGTAGTGCGTGCCGAAATATTGATGGCATGCATGCATACATTAGAAAATGAATTGACGTTTGTACACAAGATTGTCTGCTCCTGGGAATTTGAAAATAACTTTAATGGCATAAGGAAACTGAATAACGACCCAAAAATATTCAAATGACTAAGCACACTACCAGTACAAAAATGGTTCAACTGACTTCGGAGCAAAAAGTTTTTGTAGTCTTTATACCCAGCCTGCCGTCATCAGAAAAGCAGTTCGCGATATGCACAAGCGCGTACGGAAGTTTGTGTTGAGAGAAATGGGGGCCACGTTTGAGGTCATGGTCCATGACATTCAGTTCTTTTGATGTTCAATTTATCAGTAATTTTCAATTTGGATCGAAATGTTAAGTGAATCTGTGTCAGATCAAGTTGTAATTCATTCCTGACACATGTAAACATTTTAATAATAGCCAGGGTTTGTAAAATGGGATGCTGAGCCATTCCGGATTCAAAGTCAATCTAACTCATTTGAACAGCCCTAATACTCGCGCGCAGTGTTAAAAATTAATGAACAAATATTTGTTCATGTTTTGAAGGAACAGCTAAAACAATCTACCACGCATGCTGTTATTGCTTTTGTGCTTAGTCGTTTGTGCTTAGTCATTTGAATATTTTTGGGTCGTTATTTTTCCTTATGCTATTAAAGTTATTTTCAAATTCCCAGGAGCAGACAATCTTGTGTACAAACGTCAATTCATTTTCTAAAGGTCTCCTTTTTCTAATGTATGCATGCATGCCATCAATATTTCACGCACTACGGTTTAGCATATGTGCAAATGCAATTGAAAAGGCATTCAAATTTTAACAATAGCTTGATTTCTAAAGGTCTCCTTTTTTTTGATACACCCTGTATAGCGCTGGATCCACCCCTGATGGTATATTGGTATGGATTACCTCATGGTGGTATAAAATTATTCTAAAAAGTGACTAATGAAATTCACTTGTTATATATTGTTGGCACTAATTATATGTGGAATAAATTCGCTTCGCGCGAAAATTATCGCTAATGGAAAATCAGCTTGCTATGTCTTGAAACGCAGACGTCGTACACAAGACGTGAAAACCTGAAAGTGAAAGACGTAAAAACATATTAAACTCTCGTACGTCTTTAATTATTTGTATCTTTCTAGCGACCCATTGCATTGATAGCCGCCATCTTGTGTGCCGTGTTTCCGTCCTATACGTACAGTAGCGTAGCCAGCTTGACGATTTGTCCCGCTACGCTAATATTTTGGTGTTCATTGACTGTGAAAACAATAAATTTCTAAGGAAATGAATAATCATAATAACTCGAAATTTACATAACGAGGCAAATCGTCAGGCTGACTCACTGGGCTGACTACGCCACTGGTCCAGTGGTCTATATGCTTAAAGTCCCAGGGACTTAGTCCCTAACCTGCTTGCCGCACGCAGATACATGTACGCTTAGCCATATGGCTTAGCGTACCTATACTTGTATTTCTCCAATAGACCTTTTTGAATTTCATCATCCGACCACGAAAAAGTAGATTTTGTGTTAACGAATCATAGTGCTGGGATTATAGTTGGACTCGTTGGATCGGATGAATACGTAATACATGAAGTAATGTCATGAATCGCAGGCTCACGGACGCTTGCACATGCCTTGCCTTCCACGTTCTTGTGTTATGGCACAGAATATGGCACAGCGTTTATATGGATTGGTGGTAAAAAATTAAGAATTACAGAATGAACCTTGTAGAAGTGCTGCGAGAAAAAAGAATATACGTGTAAAAAGTACATGCATAGTGTGAATATGATAAAGAAAGGGTCGAAACGTAAGACCTCTGCGCAGGAAAATGATACCACAGACTCGCGAAAGGAGGTTAAAAGGGGGAAGAAGGATTATCCTGTGAGTGGCGAATGTAGTAAAGATATAGTAAAAGAATTTAGTACGTTGACTAGCGTGAAGCAAACTAGACTGAAAGGTGAGCAATGTAAAATAGATTGAAAAAAGTAATCCGGAATAGAAATCCTTGGGGGAGACATGCAGGAGGATCAGAGTGCAACATCCCTCTTTGAATTGCCCTTTTTTCATATGTTTAATGTTTTATATTAGCCCTATATATTGATGGTCCCAAATTAATTTTAACCTGCATTGTTATTTAAAAGCCTGTTGTACAATCAATTTGTGCCATGGTTTAAGTGTACTAGTGTAGTAACTACACATGAACTATGCTTTGTCGGAGAACTTTGCTGCAAAATAGTTTTACTGGATTTGTAAGCCTGTTTTGCACCCAATTTAATTGTATGGCATGATATTTAAAGTGGGTAGGTTTTACCATTTGCGCTTCACTTCTGTGCTTTGCTTTGGCATTGCTAAACCGGGAAAATTAAATTAAAGCAAGTGCAGATTTTAGCAGGGCCTTTTCAATAAATTGAGTGTCATTGTTAAGTGTTAACCACCTCAACATATGGTCCACCAATTAAGTCTAAACAAATCTAAATGCTAAGTATTTGAAGTAACTTTTTTCCAAGTTGCTTTAATGATTGAAAGTGCATGGTGATTTTTAAACATTACAAGATAAGATATTAGAATTAACTAATATTCAAGCAAGTATTTTATATTTAAATCATCCATTCTGTAATTTTCCTCCCTTTTCACCTCCATTCAAAAATAATTTCCAAACAAATAGTACTAGCTTAGCTCTCTCAAGAGCTATATTTTCCTTCGCGCTTTTTATGCAAGCTTGGCATCCTTCTCTTGTTAATGTTTTACCAATCATTCATTATACTATACTGAAATTTATTCAACTATTACAGGCTTTAAACAGTTTCTTACAACTATAAAAAAGGCAGAAGTAAAAAATGAAATCATCTCTATATATTTACAAAGTCATCCTGACTGTTCGGAGATGTTTGATGTTCTCAAGGAGAGTCCTGAGCAAAGATCAGTATTTGAGGTAACTACTTTATTGCGAGCACCAAGTCAGGATGTGATAGTTAGATTACTAATCATTTAAGTTTAAAATAAATTCATTTTATTTTTTTCAGGTTCAAGTAGTTCTTGAAATCTTTGAAGTAATAATTCTTCAGCTTGTTGGAGGTGATATCAGGACAAAGACACAGGCAACAGCAATTGTCTCAATATTTCTGGCCAATCACAGAAAGCTTGTTTACAATTGTTTGAATTCTACGTCACCTTCAAATGTTACCATAGCAATGCTAAGGTTGTTGACAGCCTTTGTTATGCATGGTCAGGCCATAACAAGAGAACTTTTGACTACATTTGATTTCTCACATAAAACATTTGGTACACTTGTGAACAGAAGAGATAAAAAGGTATTGACATACAGTATAGCACTTGATTACATTATATTTTGTAACTTCAATTTCTATAAAAAGCATCAATTTGATGCAAACATCTCCATGCAGTGATGCCAACTCTCTTGACAAAGCCCATTTCGATTTGGATTGTAATATACAGAGGTAGCTGCAATAAAAATGGAACCCATGTACCAACACAGTTACTATAGACCATGCCTCATCCAAGTTTATCTAGGTAACACATAAGATATCTTTATTCGACAAACCTATTATATACAGAGTGTATAAAAAAAAAGGTAATCCAACTTCAACATGCTATTGTACGTCTCAGTCTATGAAAAATTTTTTTTCACATTCGGAAAGATCAGGCTTTTAACTATCGGATGACATGCTTTTAGTACCAAATGGTGAAAAAATGAGCACATATGAGGCTGTTAAAATATGTTAGTCACAATTGCATATTTTCACCTTTGAGCCTAATTAAAGCAGTGCATAACAAAAGAAAAAAAACAATTAATCACGAACATGCCACAGCTTGCACTGGTTTTACAACATGTTTATTGCAATTTTGTACCTTTACACTTTTTTATGCTTCAACTTGACCCCAATCTCTATCAAAACAAAGTTGACATTGCCGCCGCATTGCTTGGAATGTTCTCCTGATGTGATTAATTCCTACTTACTATGCATAGGCGGGTAGTTTATTCAGAAGCAAAATTCTTCAATTAGGTCCCAAAGGGGGTTAATTTTCAATGGTTAGTTAGTTTCAACTCTCAGAGGTGAAAATATGCAATTTTGACTAACGCTTTTTATCAGCCTGCTATTTGTTCATTTTTTCACCATTTGGCATAAAAACATTTCATTCGATAGTTAAAAGCTTAACCTTTCCGAATGTGAAAAAACTTTGTTAATAGAATGAGTAGTTCACGTACAATCGCGCGCCAAAGTGTTGGATTACCTTTTTTTGATAATTTTAAAATGTCCAGAAAACTGTCATTTTGTCAAAATGTCTCAAAAATATATTTACGTCAAAGTATTTTAGCATCTTTAACCTCGAAAGCGGGAGAAAGGTTTGCAAAAGCCTCATTTTTAACCACTTGTACAAAGAAAGGTTGAAAATTCAAGTTCATTTAAAGATGTGAAAGTTTGGACTCTTTTGTGCAATGTATCACAATTTTCAGAAAGTCCGCCGCGAAACGTTTCAAAATTGGACTTTTTTCCCGTTTACTCGGCTCTCGCGTAACCTTTTTCATGCAAGAATGATTACATGCATAGTTTGAATGACGTACTTAAACATAACTAACAATAAATACTCTTATTTCATTGTTTTATTTAACAAAGAGTTCTGGGGCCGGTTGTATAAAACTCTTAACTACATTTTGCGTAGTTAAATCGTAGTTAACTCAGAAATACATAACTCTGACTAAGTTAACTACCTTTTTTATACAACGGCCCTTGGTAATCACGTCATACATACACGCTATACTCGTGTAATCATTCTTGCATGAAAAAAGTTACGCAAGAGCGGAGTAAACGGGAAAAAAGTCCAATTTTGAAACGTTCCGCGGCGGATTTAATGTTTATCAAATTTTCTAAAATTGCGATACATTGCACAAAAGAGTCCAAACTTTCACCTCTTTGAATTAACTTGGATTTTCAACCCTTCATTTTCATTGCACAAGCGGTTAAAAATGAGGTTTTTACAAACCGTTCTCCCGCTTTTCGAAGTTAATTTTTTTGCTAGTTTTTACTATTAGATAAGCCAGAAGATGCTATATAAAATACTTAGACGTAAATATATTTTTGAGATATTTTTATGAAATGATAGTTTTTTGAACATCTTAAAATCTTTTAAACATCGCCGGCACGAACAGAGAAGGCCATGCGATTCGAACAGTTACTATGAATCACTAAGTGGGTAAAACACCCTGTAAATACAGATTACAGAAGCCAGTCAAGCCACTGTGGAGACTGAAACTAATTGTCTTACGCAATTTCTAATTTCGTTCCTGTACGTGATGAAATTCTTTTTTCCAGTGAAAAATGTACAGTATTTAAGCTGGTAAGTATGACCAATCGAAAACAACGAAAAAAAGTGTTTCCCGTGATACAATGTGGGTGTACGTACTACTGAGCGAACTATACTGAGTCATTTAACGTTCGAGATACTGAGATTGCCTCTTTCAAAATTCACAATAGCTATGTCCAATACGGACTGTTTCCTACTACAGCCACTAACAGTGTATTACAATCTCAATATAGTATATGCATTTGAGTGAGTTATATGTCCCTATAAGATGTAGTTTAATGGTGATATTATTTGTTGTTTCACTTCAGAGTATCGCCGATGTTCGCACTTGCTTTATAAAGTTCGTGCTGTCTTTATTTGTTACTGGAGATGCTTCTTTGGTTCATCAAATTCTTCATATTAGAGGTAAACAATCTTTAAAGTTTTAGGTAAAACGTGTTTCCTGACATACGCTTTTGCAATGTTCAATTCTGACCCCCTTTCAAGTCTGAAAATCGTGTTCTAACAACTGATTTGTCTTTCGTGCTAACTATATGCATAGGTTCATATGAACTAGCCTATAATCGAAATAAATCTTAGATTATTACCCCGGCGCCAACGACGGAGTTGAAAATTCGCCTCGGTTTTTTTTTTATTTTTATTTTTTTGTCGTCGCAAGTCTGTAATGGCGCGAATCATACTAGTATTTGAAATGTGTATGTGATCGCATTTATCTACGTCCCAGTCCTATCTCCCAAGAGATGTGGTGCACAGCTTTGGCTAATTTACCGATGCGCGATTCGATTTCGCTCGCATGATACGGCAATTCCTCCAAGAAGAACAAATAAACCGTTGTTTTCATGCTGTTCGAATAACTTTAGATTGAATTGGGGTAAGAATATATTTAATACATGTAGATTCTGGTCCTATTTTAATAATATCGCTGCTATTTCGCCTTTTAACAAAATGATGTTGTCCTGTATGGGCGCGTTGACACGTCGTAGTTTGCACAGGATTGAAGATTTAATATAACTATACAAGCGCGAATTCCAAAGGCAAAGTGTGAGACAAAGCGAATGTATCATGCGGTTTATTTACATTTTTGAACAATTGAACTTCTATACTTTTTAAAGTACGATGTGCTTCTGAATTTCGCGATCGAACATTTAGGTTCGCAAGGCATCTAAATGAATATGAACTGTATTGTTTATGTTCAGAAGCTTTATATTGAAGACTGGCACGTGCGCCGGAGTTAACGCCAGAACAGGCGTCTTGTTTAGATTGAGATGTCCCTACCAATCATTCCTCGTTAACTTATCCATTTAACTGTAATGTTACAGGTTTTGCCACTTCTATCTTAAAAAGCCTTCACAAAGATTCAGCGGAGGTAATTCAATTGGTCCTGTCGACACTTCTTGCCAAGGTACATAGCTACAATATATGTAAATAAATAAATAAAAAGTGAGTTCGGGCCTAGGTAACCATCAACACACGCATTTTTTAAATCAACATCGACTTTTCAAGCTCTTTTCTCTCTTTTTTAGGTTGTTCAAAACAGTTCAATTTTGAAGAAGAATAAAATTCTTCTTTTCACTTCGCATTCACTCTCGCAACTGGCAAAACTGTATTCGTATGAAACTGACAGTTCTATCAGAGAAACGGTGCATTTGTTCCTGCTGGAGTTATGTACTTCAAAAAATGGGATTGCATTTGACAATAAACAAGGAATATTTTCAGTGGGGTAAGTGAATGGGGTAATTCCCCAGAAGAATTAGTGCTCTTTATGTCTTTGTACTCGAGAACAGAAAAACTTACTAGAGTTACTACCGAATAACAGTGGAAAGCATGACGGTTGACGCCCTTTCTACAGAAAATTTATGAATCTCGCCTGACGAATCTTTGTCGAAAGAGTAGTGTGAGAATCTCCAGTAGAAATATAGATTCAAAAATATGTGTGCTTAGCATGTGCGCTTGTAAACTGTTTCCGGTAATCTTAAATTTCATGCAAAGAAGAAAAAGATTGCATGCATGACGAGTAGTGATCGGCATACACTCTTCCAGACCCTCCTTTAATATTTCTATTCCACGTAATAAGTTGATTTTACTGATTTTTACTGTACTACGTAGACTAGTATTCAAACTTTAGGGTAAATATTATGTAAAATATGCTTTAAGAATCCACCGTAACTGGATCGCATTTTCAAGACCGCTGCCTATACATTGGCAACTTATCGTTCGGAGTTTAAGTTCTAAGAATTAACCTTGTAATTCAATCTAGTAGCTACATCAACCTCGTACCCAGGGTCTTTGGGTACGAGATTGGTATACATATGTATCTCAAATATGCTTAAAGTTCGTTTAGAAATACTCGTTTGACTTTCATTCTATTTGACTTCGCAGATCAAACAATCCAGTTTTATTGAGATTCCTTCATTCCTTACCAAAGACGCTCGATGATGATTTACTAATAGAACTAATCATAAGGATTCTTCAAAACTCCCAAGACCTGGTTTCACCATATTTGACTGGTTATCAAATGGCTCTGGAACCTCGTAACTCGCAGCAATGGATAAACAACTTTGTTTTTCTCATCAAGTTATATTTTCACCTCCCAATGCCTTCGACTGTGTTAAACGTTCCCTCAATTTCTCCGGATCAGGTTGCCAGCTCAGGTATTCTGAGAGTTTTGTGTCCAGAAAATTTGAAACGGAGCATCCTGACTCGTGGGCTTCAGGTACATACTTATACATCTAAACCTACCATTGAGATATGATGCGTATAGTCTTTGACACTTTCTCTCGCTGAGTCTATTTCTTGTGCATGTGCTTCATTTCTCAAAGTATACAAGATTCTAGTGCATATATCTAGTGCACATACTTCATTTCCCAAATTATGTTTTTTTAATCTTTCCTAAAGGTCTCAACAACAAAGACAATTTGCAAGTTCATTCCATTTGCAAGGAAATTTAGACATCTATTTTATTAAATAGGAATAAATCGCGCAGGAATTTCAATTACGATTTGCTAAGGAATGTTTAAACCTTTCGACAGACTTTTGACATAGACGCGGGGGGAATGAAATCTATGCAACATGACTGCGAGTGGAGCATTGTAAATTATCGAAAAATAATATTTTTAAAATTTTGTTTTTTATCAGACAAAAAAGTTGCCCAACTTTATTAGGCCAGGCAATGAAAAGAGCCATCGTTATGTGAAAGTATTTCTCGCAGCCATCTTCTTTTTCACAATTCAGCTAATGCATGCGCAGAATTGTAGTTTTCCGATTTCCCTAAACATTTTCTCACTAATGCTTGGCTTGCCTGGGCTGGTTTTTTTTCTTGCAATCTTGCTGGGTTTGAAACATATGGCCCGAAGGTATAATCGTCTATTTAGTCACGTGAAACTCGTGCTTTTTGTCAATTTTTTTAGCACCCAGATGTTGTAATTCAAGGTACAACCCTTAGTATGCTGTTGGTTATTCTCAAACGTTCATGTAACATGCAGCTAACAAACATTGATAACAAGATGCCAATCTCATTTTCGGAAAATATTCTTAAACTGCTGCCAAGTTTTCAGGTTCTCATATCAATCCGCGAGAATCTCAGCAAAAGAACTAAACAAGAGGAAAGTGTTAAAGGTAGGTCATGACCTTGTTTCAGTTGTTTGTAGGTAAAATGCACCAGAACCTCGTGTTTACTGTATATTCAAACATCTAAACACTTATGATCACATATTATATAACCGGTTTCTCAAACGAGATGTTCTAATACTAAAGTTACTTGTTTTAGTAAGAACTAGGAACTCTTGTCTTGTATTAAAAATACTGTATTTTTTTAAAATCAGAATCTCTCGTTTGAGAAACCGGCTAAAATATCGTAATTATGAGTGGTTTTATGTTTGGGCATGGATTGCCATACCGCGGACAATCTCCCTCTACCACGGAATGCTGTATGTAATGCCCTTCGGATTTCCGCGCCGCCATCTTTTTCGTGCACTTAAATAGAAACCCAATGATTCCCCAAGAAAGGAAACCATTCAAAGAAAATGCCCTCGTCTGAAAGGTATCCCTATTTGAAATTGAACGAAAGATATCTTTTATAATTTTTAGATCATTCCACACCGTTGTCAATCGAAGAAGCAACAATCATTCTTTCGCGAATTCTTGCTTGTATGCGGTTATATCAAATAATTTCACCTCATTGTTTTATCATGTCAAACTATGATCCCTGGAAACTCCTTCCTCGAAACCCTGATGAGGAATTGTTTTTTAATGTTTCATCAAAATATTCCATGCTGAAAATCTTTCTAAGATGTCCAAGTCAAAATTTTAAGTGGCATGCGCAGGTTTGTTGGAATATCTATCTGGGTCTCTTCACAAACGCGTAGAATTTATTTGTTGAAACAAGTTTATTGTGATATACTTTTAGTCTAAAACGGACACAGCTGCGTATTTCCGCCAAGTTTTACAGATGTACCATCAAGGTGAAGATTCCTTTATTCAGAGGATGACTGAAGGACTTCTTCACAAGGTAGATGCTTTTTAGATTGGTTTTGATAAATGATTATTTAGGAAACGAAGATGCACGTACTGCGATATCAAGCTACAAGTTATCTTCTAGTCTATGCACTGCATGGTTTATAATTTCACTTTTTTTCGAAAACTTATTTTTCTTTTATATTGTCGTCAACAATCTACATGCACTTAATGTTATATAATGTACACTTTTGACTTTTTAATCTATTTACTTCGCCAAAAAGTTTTTACTTTTCAACAATTTTTGACGGCGGTGCACTATGGTGAAATGGCACATCATCATCGTCTTGTCATAGTCGTTTTTGAAGTCGAAGAAGTTACAGCCTATGATAGGAATAAAATGACTTTGTGGGGCAATAAGATGATCTTTTATAGTCCATCACAAATATCGCTAGTTGAGTTTCAAGGTCAGATCACCCCTGTTGAAGACACTAGACCGGAGTGTCGACACGTTGGGTCGTGAATGTAATCCTTGTGTCGTGATTTCTTTCATTAATTAAACCAGAGTATAGCGACATTTGCGATGGATTATTTACCTGGTTGCCGTGAACTTATTAACTTTAATCTTTTATAGTGGTTATACCACATTCAAGATAATCCTTTGTATCGCATTCATTTTTTTTGTGAGCTCTTCTATTTTTTCCCGTTCCTAGTTCCTTGTTGAAACTGGCGTATGTGACTTTAACAAAGACGAGGTACCCATCTGGCTTCACAACATATTAGATGGTTGTATCGATGACAGAGGGGTGATTGCCAAGTTCTTTGAGAAGATGTATTGTCGTTTGGCCAGCGACCCTTTCGAACTTGTGGATGCTGTGATTGATTCGGTTCAAGGTGTCTCCCTGAAGACTCATTTAGCAGTGGCAAATGATTTAGAGAAAAGGTATCATGAGCTCGTATTTTTTAAGCCTAGTTTCTTGAGTATGCATATCTGTTCAGTATTAATAGCAATGCCCCGGATTTTACTTAGCAAACAGTTGCAATAACTTGTTGGCGAAAACCCAACAAACGTGATTTACACTGTGGTGTAAATTTACACTGTGGTGTAAATTCTAAGTTTAGAATATTTAGAATATAGCTTCGCGATATCTGTAGAGTATTAACTTTCCGTTAAACTCTCTCTAGGTGTGCATCTTCTGACACACACACACACACACACACACACACACACTGCGTCACATCACTGTGTGCTTCCCTGTTTAAGGCTCGAAACGTCCCTGCATGCATTAGCAACATCACTATAGGCCCTGTTACACGAGTCCTACTCTGGACCCCTGGTTTACTAGACCAGTGCTTGCAACTTGAAAACGTCCATATATAGAGTATATATTTATTAAACATCCACAGGGGATCGCAGTTGCTAAATTGACATCTCTCAAAATTGTATTGCAAGTTGCGTGAAAAATTACACCGTGTAACAGGCCTTTATATCACGCTTCAAATGCAATAGACGATAAAAACAATGTATGACTAATAACATATAAATTCGTAAATGTAAAATTGTCGCTTTTTAGATGCATGCCGTATACTCCTATCGTTCCGTGCGCGTTGGAATTTTTTGTTCGTGAAATCAAGGACGATAATGGTCAGAATAGTACGCCAAGAGATTTAGGTACGTATGCTATGGCTGGAAATAATTATTTTTGCTCCTTCTTGAAATTTTCGGTTAATTCGAAGATGTCAAAAAGCAGGTCTAAATGTGAACAATTCTAAGCTGATAATAGATAACCGGAAAAAATTCAATCCTGTCTAGTATACCGATGAATAGAGTGTTACTGATCTTTTTTTAGATATTCTTGCTCGCTATATAAATCTTGTTATTCTGGATATCTTGGAACTTCAAGCTGATCCAAGGCCGTTGTGTAATTTAGTCATGAAGATGTTGGTTCGAAATAGTATGGTGCCTATTCCTCTACATATGAGGATCTTGCTTGAGTATATTTCGTGCTGGACTACCGTTGAAATCGCTGGTGAACAAAAACTAACGAAAATGGTTAAGTCCTTGAGTAGAAAGGGTACGTTTTATTCTTTATGTGGCATTTTTTCCACGCTTATTTCATCATTTATGTATATTGGCCCTTTTGTGACATTGAATGCGAGGGATGGAACGATGTAAAGCAGACGCGTTTGCCATATTCGTAATCCGATATGTAAGCGGGAAAAAAACTGCATGAAACATTTTCTCTTCTTGTAGGAATATCGAATGAACAATTTGGTCTTTCTCCTGAACAGTTCAATGATTATATTATTACTACTGAGCACATCGATGTGTCATTTGTTGTCGGTTATCTGAAATGCAATCCCGTCGCTTTCTTGGGTAAGAATCGATACATTTTTTGTATTAGATTCAGACTAATTAGTCGATCTGATATTTTATACCGCTGCGCAACTGGCAAATTTCGTTTCAAGGACAATAACAATACAGAGATGTTAATAAAACAATTGAAATACCATGGTGACACTCACATGCAAAAATATATTCCTTTCTTTTAGATTCTAAGTATTCAACGGGATTTTTGGTTTTAAGTAAACTTCCATCCTCTCTGGTTCTACGACAACTCTGGATGTTCGTTATGAAACACTGGAATTCTACCTCGGCATTTTCTACGAATGTCGAGTTACTAGAAACATTCAAAGCTATTGTAGATGTAATACTACTTGTAGTGACAGAGGAGAAGAGAGAATCATGGGAACGAACCGTTTCATCTGCTCTGTGGCTTGCAACTAACGTCGTTAACATGTCGTCTGAAATTCCTGGGGATAAACTGTTCTTCACAGAAATTATGAGAACTATCACGGAGGTTTTGCGGATAACGTACGACCAACTACGATCAGAGACAAATGGCGTATCCTGCGATGACAAGCGTGTTGATGATGTAACAAATAATAGCGACGTTAATTATCTTATAAACGATGACGATTTTGCTACTGACGTAATCCACAGTGATGTTATAAATGTCATTGATAGGACTTGTGCGAAAAATGGAAAAGTCAACGTTCAAGATAACGGACGACTCTCGGCAAGGCTGATGAAAAAGGTTTTTGTACAGGATACTTTCATAAAAATGTATTGTACATCTAACTCAGCGAAAGATGATCCGTGGTTGCGTCATGTATATGGGATATTATCGAACTGTATTTCGTATCTAATGGTGCATTTCCGTGAAGAAATATTAGAGGAACAAAACTATGAATATTTGAATCAATATTTCATTCGTATATCACAAGCGGTGAAAGAGAATGCTTTTCGTCAAAAAATTGCTGGTAAGTGTTGGATTTATCACAGGCAGCCCAATGGGGAATGTTTTTTTTTATTTGAAATAAAAATGCACACATAGATGAAATAGACACATTATGTCATTTATTTACATGCTTATGTATGTACTTGTCTATAATTTACATGCTAATATGCGTGTCTGACAATGTTCTGGCAATGTAGGTATTATATATTATATAAATATATCCTAGGATATATAAGATATATTATACTATATAATACCTACATTGCCTGAACATTTTCAGACACACATATTAGCATGTGAATTACAGAGTTGAGTACGTCAGCATGTAAATAAATGACACAATGCGTCTTTTTCATCAAAGTGTGCATTTTTATTTCAAAAAAAAATAAAAGAGATTGCAAAACTACTGTGTTCGTATAGCTTTTGCGAGAAACATTTTTCTGATCCTAAATTTTTGGAAATTTGAAAAACGCAGCATGAGAGAAAACTAGATAAGAACTAGTGACCGACTTTTGAAATCAGAAAAACGTATATTTTTTGCAATTTTTTTCCAGATGAGGAGCTTCCATACAAAGTGTCAACAGCCTCTCTCTTTAAAATGTTTCATAAATATTTCCCGGATCAAGTATTTTGTGAGATTTTTCAAAATTGTCTGGCGTTTCCAAAGGAACACTTCATGGAGGAGAATGTTTTGAGTACAAACGGTGAAACGCTAATCGACGTGGTGGAGTGTTTTCTGGAAAGAGGTTTGTATTGTTGAAATTCAGTCTGTGTCGACATAATAGGCAGGGCCCCAATATATGTAGAAATCAGCACCGTAAATATTCTATACCAATAATATTCAACTTTTTCCGACTTGAAATTGAAACCTTTTCTAGAGGAGGCTCATCTTAGCGATACAACGCCCACACAAGTTTTGGATGGAATTCTTCAACTTCTTATGTCCATAAACCATCCAAAGTGCGATGAAGTTATAGCCAAGTTGATCGTACGATTCGCGGAACTGTCAGACACTATCTTACAGGCAGTGCTGCATCATTGTCTAAATCAAAATGCTTTCAAAGTGCGTATAGAAACGGCCGTATTAGTTTTATTTCATAGACCCGAGTATATCAGAGAATTGGAGCACTGGCTTATAACTCGTATCGACGGAAAAGGTCAGAGAAAAAAGACCAGTCCTAATAAAGAAGCAAAATTTCTCAATAATGACCTGGAGTGGAATATATTTCTTCCATTGCTGTTGTTTTATATTTTACCACTTAAAAAAGGTAACGAGATACACAAAATTCGTATTACAATAATTACGTCAAGGAATGGCTCTTTAACCTAAGCCCATGCAGGCCATTTGTGGTTTTTGACGTATGTATAAGTGTCTGAACGTCTGAATATCGAGATTGAGCCCGTAATACAATATTTTCAGAATTGCATTTTCCCCCTTTTATATACAAAGTCATATGAAAGACTTGCAACTATCCGGATCTCAACTGATATATAGTATATAGCCTATATGACATTTAACAGTTTGCCATCCATCAACACCAATGCCTCACCGTGCACTATTTTGCATAAATAATTTAATTACCTGTTTCTCCCGCTTTCCGGGAATTGGATGAGGATCAGTGTGCTATCTCAGACTCTAACTACGACACAACACAAAATAACACAAAGTAACACACAACATAAAGTATTAAAAATTTCGAGACTCTGATTAGATTTGCCTAAAAAATGTGTTGATTCGTTTTAAAACGAAATTCCACCTTGTTAGCGCACGTCCGAAAATGAACGTCTGGGCCATTTCTTCGAAAGCCGTTTGGCTTAGAGGCTGTTCATATGAGCCCGGTTACTGAGATTTAACGAAGCGTAAAATGGACATTAGGGTATTGAAATAAGTCTTTTTTAAACAAAACAAAACAATCACGTATACTATTGTTAGGATGATTACACGGATACCATGATCATGTTATTTACCCCATTTCAATACCTCAAAGTCCATTTTATTATGCTGCGTTAAATCGCGATAACCGCCTCATGCGAATTAATCGAGCCCAAGTTTTAAAATACTCTCATACATCTTGCGAATGACAACTGAAACTACATCTTATGCATTAAAATGTATTTCTATTGCAAATTAAACTAGGCCTGTTTACACGTAATCATTTCTGCCCAGTTGTTTAATTCACCATTTAAGCTAAACGTTTTCCCAACAACTCTCCCCAGAAGTTTAAAACAATGTCCTTCCTATTGGTAGAACAACAAGGTATTGAGAAGAGTGAAAATTGTTTGAAGTACATTTGCGAAAAATCGTGGCTGAAAGTGAAGGAATGGATTCTCGAAGGAAAAAACACAAACAGATCGAATGATGTAAGTCATTTATTGCATGCATGTAAATTCTTTCGTTGCAGTCACATGAAGGGCCGGTTGTTCAAATGCCGGTTGGCCTTACTCTTAATTAACAAAAATTATGAGTGACATATACAGTATACACATCATCTTGAACGACTTAATCATAAAGTTTATAGATTGCAATGCTTCGATTGCCTTACCAGCCTTTCTTAATCATTGGTGTGAATTTCGGTGAAATTCTCAATATCAAGCTCTTAATGTAAGTCCTAAGCGGAAAGGTAGTACAAATAAAACGCTTGATTAAACTGAACATCTAACATCTTCCTCTTCATTGTGTTTATATCTAGTTGCTCAAGATGCTGCGTCTTTTGTTGGACACCAGTAATGTTGGTGAGAAATGAAATTTTAAGTATTGATAAAACTTGCTTTTATAGATAATATTGAAATTGTTTGGGAATACTTTTCATAGTTGCGAACTATGTGGGTTTTTCTAATTACATAATGACGAAATGTAAAATTATCATCAATTTCTGCTTAGGATATCCAGGTTCTTTCCAGTGCCTGTCGATTTATTGTACATCTTTCTTTATTTTTTGCATTCCAGACGGTGATTTTGTACGAGATTTGTTTGCTGGAATAATTGCGAAAGAACAGGCTCTTGACTGTAATTTGTAAGTAAAATCATTTGCTAGCGCATAGTTGCTCTCTCAGATGTCTGTCGTAAGTCCTATATAAATCTAGTAAGACGGTCAAGAAGCTGCCTTCTAGTTCCGACAATATCTTTACCACTTTCTGTTCTGTTAATTTCAGTCATCTATTCTTTTTGTACAGATAGCACTATATCTATCATGTTTTGTTAAACTCGTGATTCTCTATTGAACCTCTCAACCGAATAATTTATATCAAACTATGCTTAAATTACCGCCATTCGTTGCCCTTTTCGAAAAAGAAGTTATAGCGCATGAACAAATGACTCCCCCCTCAATCAAATGCCAATCTTTTTATAATTCTTCGATTGCAACTTTGTTATCGGTAATTGGCAACGAACTAGAAAGACTTTTACACAATGAATATCTTAGGCGATGCATGTCTACTTATAGACGCGCCTATCTTATACCTATTAATGAAAAGTGATCGAACGGTAACCTGTTTCTTCATTTCATTTCAAGGTATCAGCTTGATGCAGTCGAGTGTATACTCGACTACGTTTTAAAGGTATCGCCGAACGAAAAAAAGCGAGAGAAAATGACAACAATTTTTCTATATAAATGTATGGATAGGTTAAGTGGAATAATGAAGAATGACAGGGGTAAGGTTCAGATCCTGATTAAATGCAACAGAATTTCCTACGTTCTTGAGGAACGTAGGTCAATGTGGCCCCATTGTGGCGCAATTGTGCCCCCGTTTGAATACCTCAAAGACGTGATTGCTCTATATTGTCTTTATGATAGATTGTTCACATGTGCCCACATATGCCTATGCACGGTTATCCAATGAATTTCTTATATTCTCATTTAATTTAATTCAACAGAGAGTGCCCTCTTTTCCAGAGGAGTGTTCCTGGAAACTTATACATCCTAAACACCAACGACGTCCCTGTTTGATATATATCATGTAACATTTGCATCATGCAAATACGGATTAGTGGAGTAGCTTTTTAAAAGACTCTTCTAATGACGTCAGAATGAAACATCTTTAGCCATCAGTGAACTCCATCAGTGGTGAAACCAGCCTGACGATTTTGTCACGCAATATAAACTTCGAGTTATTAAAATCATTCATGTCTTTAGAAATTATTTTTATGGTTTTCACTGTCAATGGAAACAAGAAATTGGCATGACAGGTCTACATTGTCAGGCTGGCTACGCTACTGAACTCCATAACGTTCCGTTATTCGGCCCCCATCTCTAAAGCCAGATTAAAGCCGAATTAGATACCAGTGTCACTCTTTTTCCATTGTTCTTGTCGGCGCGATCGTCGACCGTGAAACATTAGAAAAGGACTAGAAATCATACTGTACCACAGTTGGCTTCAAATTAGTTTCAAAGACTGGCGGTCGCGTGTTACCGTTCTAGTCGGAGACCAGTCCAATCTCGTTCTCCGAGCCGGCGATTTCCTCCAGCGAGAAAACGAAGGCTCTGGGATAATCGAAATCAGAATTGATTCGGATTGATCGTTCAGGCCGTTTGAAATTTGTTAATATAGGAAAAACCGTTAAGAAACGAAAGGATTTTGGGCCTTCTGGTTTTGTTCATCCTAGAGCATTTGTTTCCTCGCCAGAGAAAATCACTAGCTCGGGAAATGAGATTGCGTGCCAGTTCACATAGAGTTCAATTGACTTCACAGACATCATAGACTTCACTATTTCCCATTTACCCTGAACCAAATGTAATGAATTGCAAATGTTAATTATAGTTTTGGCGTAATTTTTTAACCACAGAAACTTTGCGCGAAGTCTAATAAAATATTAATTCATTTGCATGTGAAATGCTCTTTTTTCTAGCAATCGATCCCTTAAAGCTGAAGATGTTACAATTTTTGGAAAAATATGGAAAGGTTGAATAATGTAATTCCTTACAATATTTTCTCAAATTTAATTCTCTTTATCCACTATTGTCCTTACGGAGCTCAATGTTTGTTTCAGAATTCCCTAAGATTTAAAAAGATCGAGGCATTTTCGGTTGAAGAGTTCGTGAAACTCACCAACAAGTTTTTGAAGTCTGGTTTGAGGTAAGGGTTTGAGAGGTGTTATGTGTTGTGAACAATTGTGTTAGATACAGTGGTTGATACAGTGATTTTGTTTGACAAATTTCTATTGACGTTACTATTTTCTGTTCTTTAATCCGACGTCATTTACTCCGACATACTCCTTTGCAAAAATTGTAGAATTGCAGGAATATACATGTAAACAACAGAGAATCGTTTAATGCACGCACACAACTCTGGGTATTTTTTACATCGACGTATCAGCCTCGTTTCCAGGCGCTTTAAATAGAATAAGTATTAGAACACTACAGGCTTTTACATGGATAAGTGGCTTACATAGATCAGTGGCTAAGCTGAGTGAGCGCGCAAGGAATTTTGAGGAGGACGCGACGGAAAATACCTCCCCAAAATTCCTTGCGTGCTTGCTCAGTTTAGCAACTGATCTTTGTAAAAGCCTGTAGTGTTCCTATATTTATTTTATTTAAACATCTTGGGAACGAGGCTATCGAAATTTAGTGTAAAAAATCTCATGATAGCCTACATATAGGTCGATTTTTTCTTGCAGATTTTTTCTCACGTCTTCACAATCGTTACGTGTTATCGAGTTTCTTATCAAGACCATCTATAAAAGTTGTCCAAGGAAGTTATTACTTCAAGTAACTGACATATGTCAGCTTATTCTCAATCACTCGAAATTTTTAGAAATCTTTCTAGGAGACAATAAAGGTTGGTTGGTTTGGTAATTTCATATTTTTCATATCTGGTTCCATGCCCGCCCTATGGACCTGGTCTGTACCAAGAGACTTCCGACAAAAATTTCTTAGTAGATGCCTTGTGCTGGTTTAGTAATAGATTATTATTGACGTTTTAGAAGCACTTGTTGATCTTCTTCAAACACTGGTTGATCTGGAACCAAAATGCTGCAATTCCTCGCATGTATTTCTTATTCTTGGAGCTTACAGTGCCACACTTGGAACATCAGGTTAGGGATGCTTTATTACGTCATTCGCAGATTTACATGGCCAAAAATCAGGCCAATGAGGGGAGAATCGTTCAAATATGCTTTTTATGTGACCCACAATTGAGAAGTGATGTTTGTCCATGTCCAAAACATCATCAATTTTATCGATCTTTCACCACTGAAAATTTGAGGGAAACTCGAGATGCTTAAGTATGTTCCCGAGAAAGAATATTTTCACGATTGAAATTGTGTAAGAAAGTATATACTCCGGGCATATATTAGGTATCTTACTCCTCCAATTTCTGCTTGTAGTTGGCATGCAACGGCAAATGTCCACGTCCGAGATGATTCGTAAAGACTCTTGCTTTATGCACATCGCATTTTAGAAGCTTAGAAATAGGCGTAAATGTGTTCCTTAACGCGATGAAGTTTGTCAATTTCGTAGAGTGATTTTTGAACGCTATTATTTCCTTTTAGCTGTTGCTATAACATTGTCTCTCTATATTTACTATGCAATGTTGAATCTAGCTCGCGAGTAGCTACCATTGCGCTTTACTTTGTAAATGCGATTTTATTTCTTGTAGAGAACAAAGAAATAAATTATTTTGTACATCATCTTAACAATTTTTTTTTATCCCAGACCAGAAATTACTTCGTCTTCTGTACACATACGAAACCAGTCTAGATACTTCAGCCCTTGGCAGGTTGGTAATCTAGCCAAAAAACTTTCCCAAAAATTATTTCAAGCATGCAGATACATAGCTTGTTCCCAAAAGTCCCTCCCTTTTGCTAATTTAGAGCAATTCATTTGATAATTTTATATACCCAGCTATGCGGAATATTAGGCTTTTATGACGAGCTTTGAAATTTGGTCTGGTGTTAGCTTTGGTCTTTTGTGCTATTTTTAGGATATTACATGCACATTGCTATATTGTTGTATTTCTTTCAAATTTTAGTGTGTTGTGGGGAGAGGCCGCAATCCAGGCGTATCAAGCTGGAAAGAGTGGATCCAAAACATTGTGGCATGAACCGAACATCGTACAAGTTCTTGATCTCTTGGATTCCAAACTCCTCTTACAATCAGCTAAACATTTTCCTCAAGAAAAGTCACTTCAGGTGATATCTAGTGTGATTTTGTTGGGATACGTTTTCGCTCCGCCTACGATTTGACTTAATAATAACAGTCATGAATATAAAAAAATTTATCTTTTCTTCAGCCTGTCACTTGTGAAGATTTTGGTCTTGACGCTCAATATTATGATCCATCGTTTCTTCTGCCTATTTTCAGCTTCTTTATGGGACCAGGTAAGTACATTGGCCTTTCTCACATGATTTTCATAAAAAAGTTTTTCTCAATCAATCATACATCCCCAAGCCGTAGCTATAGAAGATTAATTGCGCCTGACTAACTTATTTTTTATGCTATTGTTCGTATGATGTGTAAACATGAGTATATCAATATACATCCGCGCAATTAAGTTGTCTGGCTGTGGCCCTGAATATTCCTCTCTAGTTATGACTCTTCTCAAACAAGTACATCACTCTAATGTGTACGTATAGGAATAATCTCCAATGTTTTCAATTCTATGTACCTCTCTACCTATGTATCCATGCACCTATGCATGCATGTGTTTAAAATCGTTCTTTGGGTGCATTTCTAGGTTGTGAAGTAAATTGTCGAAGATTCATAGAAAGCTCAGCTTTGGCCTATACGTTTAGTGCATTGACCTCTCATCGTAAAGAAATACGTCAATTGGCATACCAAATATTGTCAAGGTTTCAGAACCATCTTTCTACAGCGAGATTTCGAGAGAAGCAACAAGTATGCATCTCAAGATATTGATCCTACATATTTTTAATATGCCCCTCATATGTCTATATGGCTACTTGCTACAGCAATTTTCCTGAAGCGAATACCTCGCTTTATTGCACGTCAACAACGTGACAAGCCATGCATAAGCATTAGTAATATCCGGTTTATATACTCTCGAACTTTCTGTGATGCAGTTGGAATTTTTGCACTGACTACAGGTTTTTGTCATCTTATGCTCAGTTCTCCTTTCCGTGGGTTTTCGTGGGGTGCGTGATAGATTGACGATTGACGAAAAAGCGCGCTGAAACGCATGTATGGCAGAACTTAGAGCGCAACTGCTGGAGTGCTACAACAGAGGTAAAATTAAACAGAGGCTTTTAAACATTTTCGTTTTAGAATGTTATAATAACCGTCGTTCGGATGTGCATTTGATTAAAAAAGAGAACAAATTTTGACAATAGTCATAATTTTTGAGAACTTTTCTGAAGAAAAAAAGAATATTATAAAAATGTTTATTTGTCCGAATAGTTCCAGCTTAAGTTCTAAAGAAAGTTCTTCAGCTTTCTCTCTTACCTGCCGCCATTTTAAATGCATATTCTACCAGGCGCTCCCTTTCGAATTTTGCAGGGTTTTTTAACTCGTGCGTTACCCCGCGATCACCAACGCAAAAGAGAACAAAGCATTAAGCGCCTGGGTACGAGATATTCACTGGACCACAATGCAACAATTGCGGTTGATTGTGCCTTCGCGTAATATTCTCATTAACGTCTTCCTACCCAACCCACGAGAAAAAAACACTTGTTTATTAAAAGTTCTTAGTTTCTTTTATTGATCATGTTTCAGGTTGTTCATTTGCTACATTATTTTCAAAATGGAATAACGGAAGCGAACTTCCAGATTTCTAGTTTGATGTCATCGTTTATGGCGAGGGCATTGCATATCTTCTTTTATCCAGGTTGGTTTCAGACATCTGACTTGGCTGTTCAGCTCGTTTATCTTCAGTTTACTAATGGGGAATGCTAGCGCAATGCTATTAGTTATTTACCCGTACTCTAACTTTCTTCGAATTGTCCTTGTCCATTGCGATAATTGTAGCTTTACAATATTGTCGTCATCTATGTGTAGCATTTCACGCACTTAAGATAAATTACAGAATTGTTTACACTTTCAATCTCAGACCCTTGCCGAGCATGCGCACTAAAATGTGGATACACTAGTTCCAGCTCTGTATTTCTGGGTACGAGTTTGGCTCCATATCTATTACTTACTCTGTGTCGTGATCGCCCATCTTATCATGTTGTTGATCAAATGTGAATTCTTTCAAAATTTACGGGGTTTTTTTAAATTAGCTAGTGATAAACACTCCTAAAGCAGTCAAATTGAAAGTACTAGAATTACAGATATTTTGTAACGACTTAAGAATTTTGGGGTCAACAATTCCCAACAAATGACTATAAAATATTAAACAGGAATTACTCATTTAATGTCTATTTAATGCTCGAATATGTATCACTATCCCCTTGCGAGGTATGCAGCCGTGGAGTGCCCTCTAAATATCTGCTTTGAATAAATGCTTTGAATGTTTCAATTTTTAGAAGATCCACTGTATTCAAGTGTGAACAGTTACATGTTGCAAAAAGCTTTTATGGATCTGCGCGATGTCCCTTTATTTCTTTCTCACCTTAATAATTCTGACCTCACGGTATGTTCATCATTAAGGTAGTTTGGAGCTTCTATGAAACGAAATTCCACCCCTGATTTTTATGGTTGCACGGTAAAGAAAATTTAAAATGAAGTGCTCTAAAAGATCTCTTTGTATACAATTTTGTTAACTTTCTTCCTTGTCGTGAACAGGTAATTTTCACCGGTAAGAACTAGCCCGGATGTAATTTTTTTCTTTATTTCTGTACTCAAATTGTCAATGTTGACTGCACACACATAGGAAATATTCCATTGCATCAACCGCCTTGACTTGTTTGCGATACTCACAACTAAATAAAAACCAGGCATTATGAATTCACATATGCACTCTATATACGTATTAACGTATATGAGTAATATTTTGAGTAATTGTTCTTCAAGGGAACCGATTTTCTAAAAACTCATTATGTAGTGTGAAGTCATTAGTTGTCTTATTAGTTGTCTGACATATCTCTTTCAAAGTTCAGTATCTTTGGAAAGAAGAAAGTTAAAAAAATTCTAACGAGCTCTGTCTTCTGCGATGTCACGCTTAAACATACCGTTTGTGGTTTGGGTATTCGGTCTTTGTTTTTAAATTGCTGCTGGCCATTGATCACCTTTCCATATTACGTGCACTCCATTACCTATCGGTCTTTTAGATAGGGCGCCAAGCCCATCATATAAAAGTTTAATATCGTCGGCATGGCGTATCCCCTTGTGGTACACCTTGTCTTAGTAGTCTAAGTATAAAATCACATTACATAAATTTCTTATTTCCTTCGTAAATATTGTTTTTTCAGTACCGTACCGAACGTACCTGGTTACTTCATCTTATCCTCGATGGGTTAAGGGATACCACAGATTACTATATACTAAAAAAAATTCACGTATTTCAACAACTTTTAACTCTTTATGACTGCGCCATTGTGGATATAGGCGTACAGGTGAGTTCAGTATCTATAATTAGTAGACTGGCGGGGGAAGGAGTGCAAGGGCGAGAGATTCTTCCCTTGGTTAAGCCTGCGAAAAGGGCGGGAGTTCTGGGACATACTACATGCATGTGCTTGATCGAATAATGCATTTCCTCACTCCATGTATACTACTTTCACATTACCCTGAAAACGAGACAACAATTGAAAGTACGTATTTTAGACGGAGGCCATCTAGGTTATTGTAGATTGCTAACTATTTACTGCACCACTCGATTCGGTTCATTCAATCTATACGCAAACTGTGCATTCCATCCAAAGGCGGGAATATTCAGGGTTTACTTGGGTAACCACACATGCAGGTTCGTTTGATCGTTAGCGTATTACTGTACTTTGAACTTTTGTATATTTATATTGCCGACGTCGTCCATCATTAAAACTTGCCATGCTTGCCTGTTTTATAATATAGCTCGTTCACAACTGTAAATTCCATAGCTACATTTAGAAATCCATTAATTTTGGTGTGAGAGACAACTGACCAAATCAAGTGCTCTCTATAACAACCGTTAGTGAATCAACGGCTGATGTTAGCTCAGCTTGTTCTGGTAATGGGTTCCTCTAGCCCGCACTCAGCATTCTGACCTAGACAGAACCAGCGTTAGGTTGTCCCTTTTTTCAGATATATTTTCCGCTTTTACTTTAGAAACTGATTTTGAAAATTGTACATAAAGCTTGTCGACATCATGCAGTCATTTTCGATCTCTGTCAGAATTATGGATTTATTTCTTGGCTACATATACTACTCAACGAAAACAGGTAGGGTGATTACTCAACTTGCTGCTGTCACCCCGGTTCTCTGAATATATTTATAAGACAACGGGGATCGACGATGATATATATTTTGAGACAAACTAACACTGAAAACTAATATAGTCTCCAAAATGAAAAAAAAATCAGTATACCCTTTTCATCTGAACAATGTTTTTCACGTCGAACGTAAAGCATTTGATACTTTAATGTCATTCATAAATTTCTACGATATTAATTAACGTTTTTATTTTTCATTTTTTCAGGAGTAATTCTGATTGCTTTCATCACCTAATGGATATTTTAACGATGGTATGGTTCACCCTGCTTGGCCAATACAGTTCGCGCGAGGAACAGGCAAATAGTGTTAATCAAACGTTGAACAATCGACCTCACGTCCCAGAGAATGCGCCTTCTCAACTGTTGATGTTCTTGTTAAGGCTTTTACAGTCAGATTCAAGGTAACGTCAATATTTTTTCTCTTATTGTAACACGCCATGCACAAGCCATGTGCGAAGATACAAAACATTGTTCTTCAACACATGCATGCATAAAAAAGGACTTTTCATTTTGACAAATAAGTATGGAAATAAGCAATTACTCGAGAACGAGCCTCCCGGTCTTGGCCTTACAGCCTCGTGTTAGTGTTAAGGCTTATTTTAACATTATATAGGCCCACTATATAGGCGCCTTTTTCTTTCATGGCAATCTATAATATAAATGAGAGGTTTATACGTGGGAACTGACTTCCCTAAAACATTTGCCAAGCATTTTTCAGTTTCATACAGAAACCATTGCAAGACAAACAAACTTTTTTGCTAAATTTTGTTAAAATCATGCAGGATCCCTTCATCCTGCCTACGTCACAACAAATGGGCAATCTTATAACCAAAAATTTTTTAGGTTGTACCTATATAATAGGTTAGATATATGGCAAATTGTCAGAAAATTGGTTTAAAATCTTTTTGCTTTATTGCGGTAGCTGTCAAATAAATGACAAAAAGCGATATCAGTCACGGTATAGTTTTTATGTTTTACCCTGTTACCAAGAATATACATGATACAATCCTGACAGTGTTTAGGACAATTACCAAACAAGCAGTGAAGATACATTTGAAAGTGTTAAAAATATATACAATAACTACGCGATTATTGACTACTTACTGTGTGTGAGGTCTGTACCGTTAAATGCCAAACCGGTTTCGCTATCGCTGGTCAATGCACCAAAACCGAGGTTTAATATTTGATCGTATAGGCTGAACAATCGAAGTTAGTAAATTTAATGCATATTGTTTTCGTCACATCCGTCACATCCGGCACAAGCAACTGAATATGTCAAATTTAATTACTTCTCGAAACGGCTTGGGAACTGTGGCGTTCAGAATTTACCAAATCAAACGCTTGTCGTGTAATAAAATTATACCTGAATATTATTTATTCTATCCTGCGTATTTTATATATTTTTAAATTTATAACCTGCTTACAGTCTAGAAATATGGAGTGACGACATATTTTTGTCTTTTACTCGTCTGCTGTTATCATTGCTGAACTACCAACGGAGTTGTCGGACTGCCACAGCTAAAGTAAACGTTACCAAACAACACTTCGTGGAGATGTGTCGGATATGGCATATGTTATTTACAAACATTGATATCCATACCAAACAAGAAGTATTGTTTGCAGGTAGAGTTTCCCATGAATATACCACTAAATTTTCTCTGAATTTTGTTATATTCCATGAATTTATTTGCTTGTGCAATCCTCATCCATTGTTGACTGCACACACACATGGAATATTCTATCACATCAGGCACCTTGACATGTTATTTTAGTGTCGTAAACACTAACTAAAAAAAGCCTTTTTGTAGGACTATCGCCGTCATCGGACACTTTTACAGCGGAAAAATGGTTTGATTCCTTGAGATGCATCGTGGAAATATCAGCTTACTTAGATGGAATGCGTCATGGGATAGAACCACTAAACAATTTCCGAATGCTTCTAAGTTTAACTGGAAGTTATAATACATACATTAATTTATTCATACAGAGGAAAATTCGCAATGCTTTGCATGCATTCATGACCATTTCAGATTCTACTTTACTATCTGACATATTTTTTAAGTAAGATAGTCCATAAAAATTTGCAGCAGTTTCAATTCTGCTAAAGAAACCGTAATTATATCAACCGTGTAGCGGGTGTTTATTATTTTATTTTATATATAAATTGGTATGCGGATTAACCCAATTATGTTTGTTAAAAAATAAACCACCTTGTTCATATGCATTAACAATTAAAACCTTTCAAAACATGGATGAGACAATTTTACGTTCGCAAATGAGGATTTTACAACAAGAGCTGTCCCTTTTAAGCTTTATAACCGCCATTTGTATTTAAATCTGCCAATTTTTAAAGATAGGAGGTATTAGGATATCATCGTTGTGCGCAATCAGACATTCGAATTAGATATAATAAATTATGACTTATAATTATAATAAATCACATCCGAATTTTGTTGAATTACGACGAAATGTCACAAGTATTTAATAACATTATGAAAAACAGGCCTTGGAGGACACACATGTTCTGTTATACAGGGTGTCCCAAAAAAAAGCAACCACTTAAATATGCAGAATATTAATACAGCTCTAAAGCGCAATAGAAGCACCTCTGGGAATTGAAAATGGCTCTTAATCCTTCATTTACAATGCTAAAAGTCATTTTAGCTGAACTATGGTGCAAACCCGAACAATATTAATATTCTTGCATATTTAAGTGGTTGCGTTTTTTTTTGGGACACCCTGTATATACTTATTAATTTCAAACTTAATTAGAGTTTTGAGATAATGATCATCATGATAATAAGCATGCATTATATAAATCATGTACTATATTCTAAAACAAAAGTTAAACAAAACAGAGCAGTATATAAGTTCCGACTTATATTAACATCTTATCGACTTCAAGACATCCTTATTGTCTGTAATCTCTAAAATTTCCTATCACTGCATAAAAGGTATCCCAAAATGTGCTTCAAAACCATCCATCAATAGTTTGAGTCGCTGCCAATCCATGGATCGGAACGTCTGAACACCGCTTTTTTTCGTTAGCATACAAGTCAGCAAATCAACGTAAGATTTGTTTCCATGGTATTTCTGGATTATATCAACGTGCCTTCCAGGAACAATGTTCGTCAAGTCTTAAGAGTAAAATTATTATTGATCTTCTCATATTTATTTAACGTCAAGTTGTAAGTTAGACATATGGTGAACATTTAGGGATATATCTAGACGAAAAAGAGATCTAGAGGGGTGTTTATTGATATAAATAATTATATGTTTATTGCCAGCTGCGATGTCCGGATAGAAAAAAAAATTCTATATGGGCCGCAAGCCGAGGGACGTTTTAAAGACCCAGGGGAAATATTTAGCTATCTCCGGGATCTATATCCGGACCGACCAAAACGGTAAATAACGTATTTATTTTTTTACTGAATTCGGTGGTGTTATATAATTTGTAGTTAAACTCAGCGTTGTAGTCAGACTCAGCAACGGCGACCAAAACATAAACAATCAAAACCTCCAGCTCATTTGTTTAATTTGCTATAGAATTCACTTTAATTTATCGTAAAAATCATTTGACCCTCATATTTTAAGACATAAAATTTAAAAGTTTGCGAATAAATCTTTAGAACAAAACAAATACGCTGTCGTTGGATCTGTTCGAAAAAATAAAACAAAGAATAGTCTATAACTCTCTAATTCGACAGTAAAATGAAACCGAACATCTCTGCATCGCTGCCGCCGCAATGCTATAGCGCTGCTCGACATCATTTCAAATTTTGTCTATACATTTTATTTTAGGTTTATCGCTTGGGAAACACTACTCTCTTTCTAAAATATAGTCGGATGAGGAAAAAACAAGGCATGAAAACTGAGGAGGCATTTTGATTTTTTTCTATTTTAAAAATCAAACGGAAATCCAACGAAAAAACCGTTACTTCTCTTCACGAACGATCGAGAACGCGCAACTTTTTTTAATGCACCATGCATTCTTTCATTCTTCCACTCTATATATCGAAGGCTTACCTTTGATAGACATGTTATGCGTCTGGGCAAATCCAAAAGACTGATGTCTAAAACTGTATACTGTTTCTTGTAAATCCAAAAAAAGAGTGCCTTTTATCCATTTTGACGAACCTATATATATGCAAATTATAGAATTTATATATAAAGCAGATTATCGATTAACTGCGTACATGAAAGGTTGGTTAAATTGGACTTTGAAACACATAGTTACACCAGCTAAGCTACTAAAAGAGAGTTTTATTTCGGTCTGGGGTTTTTTAGCGAGTTTTTTCGCAAGACTTATTCCCTCGTGCACCCCAATCTTAATCGAAATAAATCGCGACTATAATCACGACTTTATATGCATGCATATTTCGTATGCTCGATCAAAACTATAATCGTATGTACGCATATATTGTGTACTCGATCTCGTTTATATACAGGGTGTAAAAAACGCAACCTTAATACTTCCTAGGGGCCTACGATCTTTTATTATTGAAAATAAGTGGTTGCATTTTTTATGCACCCTGTATTTCAAAATTTAAATAATGTATTATGTTGTTAAAATGGGATGGTCCCCGACTTCCCAATCCTCTCTTAAAGATGACCGTCATTTCAAGCTAAACTGCGCCGTTTTTCATGCAGTAGCAAGATTGGAGGATGTTTTATTAATATACCTTTCCATATTTTATTTTTGTATGTGGCCTGTATAGGTATTGGTTAGGATTGGAAGGAGTCCAAGCCTCGCTTGAGTTCCATGTCTCTACATCTTCGGAAACAGCTTAGTTTAAGAATGTGTAATGGATGTGTTGCATATTTGACGAGTTCGAATTTGATGCAGAATTTATTTGACCAATAAAAAAGCATTTTGATGACCAACTTTTAAACATAACAAAATTATCTTAGCACGATGTAATTTTTAAGTTTTGTATCTGTATTATTTTCTTGAAGTCCTCAAACACTTTGAGAGTATTGCTCTGATAATAGCAGTTTTCGAGAAGCATTATGTTTAACTGTATAATTATCATGTTTACTATAATGTGATTTGAAATTATATTCATTCATCGAAATAGCAGTTGGCAATGCTCATTCCAACTCAAACAATCTGGCTTATTTCAAATCGAAGAAAGAATTTAGCCATCTGTAAAGGATACATGCAGTTCAATTCTGAACTTTAGCTTACAAATTGCAAAAAATCTCGAAATTCGCAATCCACATGAAACGCTAAACCATAGACATACAACGGAAGTAAGGGTTAACGTTGTTTAAGCCACCAACAGAAGATAGGTGACTGCACAACCTGCAGAGTATTGCCTAACTGGTGCGTTACAACGCTGCATTAGCTGATGCAAATCGCAACGCAATAGTTATAATTGTAGGTAAACAACAGTAATTTTTCCTACTTGGATTTGACAGCATCGAAATTTCGATTCCCCGCTTTAGAGATTCCACCAGTCGCTCTTGACGCCTTGATCTCACTGCCTGGAAATTGTGGTAGGGAAATTTTGACAGATACGCCATTGCTGCGGCTGTCATCAACATTGATCCACATATTTCTCCTCGAGTCTCATCACGTAGCTCTAGATGACTTCCAGGAACGTAGAGCAAATCCATTCTCTCAACTAACGTTTTCCATACCGCTGGCGTGGAAAGGGAGAATGTCTTCGTCTCATCAGAGCATACGTATATTAATGCCCCTTCGTAGCATCTCTTTAGAGAAATTTATATATTTAACTTGTTTAGCCTTGAATTACACAACAAAAAAAGGATGAAACCACAGGCGCTGACTAAACTATTGTGATAAATGGTCGCATTATATTGATTAATTAGCTATTTAAATATATTCATGCATGCGGGTTTCGTTTTTTAGGTCCTATGACTATATATACTACTAAGAGGGTAAACCAAATCAAAATGTATGAAAATTCAGGAAGATCGTCTTGGTATAGGTTTGTTGGTACAACCGTACAAACTTTATAAACCTACTCACTGTACATTTATATTACAAGTATATTACAAGGTAAATATGCATGGCGCGCGGTGATATTTTGCGGGTAGAAATTTATAAATGTCGTGCAACCATTGTTTTAACATGCAGTTGTCACACTCACCACAAATGCCACATAACTAATTAAACTCAATCGAAAGGTCGACCAATAACCTTGTGTCTCATTGAACAATGAGTAGTGCATGATTACAACCTGCTCAAGCCTGGTGATTATTTTATGAGCATTTAATGTGACAATCAGAATAAAAATAGCGCAATTAACAAATGAGAATTCATACCTTAGAAGGCTGCCAATCTAAGTAGGCCGTAGCGGCGGATCTGAGTTCATACTGAACTGTGTCAACCTTCTCTTTCAAGGGAAACACTAGGTTCTTTACAGCCGCTTGATCCTCCAAAGCAGAAACGACTTCATCTTCGTCTTTTAATTCTTCATAAAAGTTATCGAGCTCATGTTTATTTATACCCAGTTCAACAAACGCCATTTTCTCGATTAGTTGTCTTGTCTAAATAATAGTGTGTATTGTAGAAGATGTGAAGAAAAGCATGGAATCTTTTGCTCATGCTGTACATGTGTGGGAGGAAAAAGTCTTTACTGCTGCGTTTAAAAGTTAATAATAATAAACATCAGTAATTGTACATGCATGTTTAGAGTTCGACTTCAAATTGGTGTTAAAGCTATTACCTAACCAGGTTAGGTAGGTTCTTCCTATCAGTTCTTATCATTCGCAATTTTTCTATAGGATGCATTCCCAGTCTTGAAGTTGAAACTTTGAATAATAAGCTATAATTTGCATATAGTAGCTGACTTAATCGTCTGGTTGACTACATTATGGAGCATATTAGATAAATGTATTAAGATTTATCATATGTTTCATTGTTGTGGCGTTGCCAAACTTATACACTCATTTTATCAGTTGGTGAAAAGTCAGTCGATTATCGAGCTAATTATCCAACTAGATAGCTACATACCACAATTTTTTCAGTTATCTTCAAATTATACTCTGTTGACTTTCTCATAAATTCGTTGCAGTTTGTTAAAGCTTTTGGATGCCACGAAAACGTATCCACCATGAAGACTATCGCAGCAGTTTCATTACTTCGTTTCAGTTCACTTGCCATTTCGTAAGCCAACAGACCACCAAAGGAGTAACCAGCTAAAAACATGTTATATATCGTTATACAAATATATGATTAATATAATTCATTAACTGTGAACAAAAAACTATATGAACATAGAAATATGCTAGCACGTCAGCCACTTTGACATGTTAAGCACTCTGTATGTGAGGGCAGGGCGTTATCGTTTTTACATGCACGAGTTCGTAAACAAGCAGCGAAAAGTACAATACCGAAGTATTGAGCATCGAGTTCCTTGTTTACGAACGATTGCATGTAAAGCCCGATAACGCACGAACAAAGAGAGTTTTAATTTTTTTACTATTCATTTTGAGTACACGCATAAAGACTTTTGTCGGTTAAAGAAGTATCAAAAAACGAAGGTAATGTAATGCATGTTTTCAAATTTAAAAGAGTTTATTAGTATTTTTTTATAAATTTTATATCTTACCGTCAATTTCCACAAGAATTAACAAATTAAGTAAGCCATATAAGCCACAAAATTATACTTTTAACAGAGATAAACATTTTTTTTCTGATCCGAATATCCACTACAACCGAAACATTTTTATTGTATATTTACTTCGGTTGCATAAACAAACTTTCTACTGTTTGACAATATTAAATGTGACGTTGCAGCTGATGAATGCTGCATTGCGAAGAAAATTTAGTGTCGGGGACTGATTCACGTTGGCGACAAAGTTGTTTTGCAAGTCTCCTTTCAAGACTCCTGCAAGTCTTGCTCTCGCTATATGGCTCTCCCGAACGTCGCAATTCTGTTTGTCTTATTTGTACTTGTAATTCGTTCCCAAATCATGCAAGAATATTAGAAGATTCTTTATCCAAGGTTTTCTTCTCACACTAAAATTCCCGACTTGCTAGCTTCATTACGGTGGCCAGAGTTTGCATGATTCTGTGAATAGATAAACCCGCGACGTCCAAAGCAGTAATGGTGCTCGACCTCACGCAATAGTTGCTGAAAACGTGGCTTAAATTCGGATTGACTGAAATTTTTTTCATCATAGTTGATATGCTGTTTACACCAAGTGGGCTGTTTTCGAACCAGATGCTGAAATCTGGCAATGAGGAAAGATATCGGTCGAGTGCTGCACGAATCGACAGGTGTGTGAAGACAGCAGGGATATTTGGGCGATTTTTCAGCCCTTGATGTAACTTCTTTAGTCTCTAGCAAAGAATGTCAGGGGAAGAACGTTCCAAAGTTTCTTGAGCAAGGTTATTTACTTGATAGCCAATCTGTTAATTAAATCGTAAAGCAAAAATATTCATGTTTTCTTTTCGCTACTTTATATCATTTTTAAACATAAATAAATAACACATTCTTACCTTTAAATACGGAAACACCCCATGCGGTTTTGTATTTTTAAGCGTGGATTCATTTATGATTTTCTCGATTTCGTCGTCGCTAAGCTCGGCAAATTTTTCCTTTTTTTCGTATTAATTACTGTCATTTTGCGAATGCAATAAATTTTATAATGGCGCTGCAGTGGCGTTGTTGCTATATAAAATTCCCTCACGTGGTAGAAATCGACCAATCAGAATACGAGTTTACAAAAAAGTAAATAATAATAACTAATAACTCTACCGAGGTAAAATGGACCGCTTGGTTGGATCTTTTTGATTAAATCTACATATCGTTGTGCGAGTGTCAGCACTGTTCCATAGTCACTCTTCTGAAATGACGTGTCATCCACTCCGATACCGTATAATGCAATGTGGACCTGAAACAGAAATTTGAACGAATAAATATACTTCATTGTATTTAAACACAAACAACGCAGACTAATAACGCAATTTGTATGGCAATCAATAAGGGAGAACTAAGAGCAATGAGACCAAGAGAATGATCACTCTTATTGCACTTCACTATAATTAATGAAATATCTGTAATTTTTCACCCTTTCAGCATCCAATGATATATGATTAACGAAATAGGAAACCTCCAAGGAATTAATACACAACTAACATATGCTCACAAACCATGCAGTGCTGTTCAGAAACAACCTAACAAAAACCGCGGTTAACCACTTAATTAGCCTAGGTCAAACCTCGGTCTGATCCAGTGGTCTGATCGCGTTTGAACCGAGGTCGAACCGTGATGAGACTGACGTTGAACCTCGGTCGAACCTCGGTCTGACAGACATTTTTTAAGATGTTGTCGATTTGAATATTGTCTTTCCGTTCTCAGCAGTTCATAACATTCCGTTCGGAAGCGAACGGCAATCGCGATCGTATTTTTCCCCCTCTGGGCGTCTGCGGTTCAGTTCTGGTTGACAACAACCGAACCGCAACCGCAGTCATTAGGTTATTTCTGGACAGTACTGTACACTGGGTTTTTCTGCCGCACATAGCTATGACAAAACCACTCGGTAAAGCTAACAGCTAAATACAAACTACGCGAGCTTTTACTACACAACTCTTCGGTAGTTAACGATCACGCCGTGATTATCTGACATGGTCGTTTCTGATTAATCAGACGTCGTGAGACTTGAAAAAGCTGTGACTAACTAGACATCGAAGCGTCAAATTCAGCAAAAGAGAAAAGGTTATATGAAGAATTTGAAAAGATCTTATTGTCGGTAAATTCGACTTCAAAAATCTTGTCTTGATTACCACAACCAAATTTCTTGCAGGCGTCACAGCTTATAACGTCATTATGCACAATGTCTATTGCCATCATGCTATTTTTTGTTGAAAATTATGATCTAATTACACTATCATTATCTATAAGTATATTACCTGTTTTTGAAAACCTTGGGCAAATGATGCCAAAGCAAGCGCTGTCTTTTGGCTGGCATGAACCATAAAAACTTTGACGAAAGCATTTTCAGGAGTATAGAGCGGGATTACTTTCTCGGGGTTCGATGGTTTTTCAACGGATATCAGCTCCAGTTCATTTTCATTGTTAACGTCGGAAACAGAGGTAAATTCTGGTGAGAGAATATTTTCACCTGCGTATGATGAGAAATCTTTCCCTTTGTTATCTGGCAAACTGTTTTTCCTTTGATTGACCTTTCCTTCAGATCCATTCTTTAAACTCTTCGTATTGATATTGTCGATTTGTTCCAGGATATCATTCACGATTGTTAGACCATTAACTTTTGGTTGGACAAAATAGAACGTCTAAATGATAAAAAAATGATCATGACAATAAGTTTTTATGATGATTATAAACTGACTATATATGGTTCTTTATACATAGAGATTTGGGTTTGAATATGAACCCGACAAATAATATTGATTTACATATCGATAGCTTACTAACTCAGTTTCTGCCTGAATAAACTTTTGCAAGTAGTGAGAAATCAATTTAGTTTAAATTGCTAACAATGGATGTAAGAGTGAAGCAAAGACTTATTTCTGACAAAATCTGACTTAGGCAGAAAAGTTAGTAAGCTATCGATATTCGTATTGATAAGTACTTGCACGTGTCACGGTTTAAAACTCGAAAATTGACAGATGATACACATAGCACTCTGTTATACTTTCGTCAAAGATTAACAATGGCTAAATATATTAAACATTTAAACCTGATACTCCCATAAATTTAATAAAAGAATTAGTGGCGGTATTGATTCATATGATAGCTGTATCTACTTGATCGATATCATGCTTATATTTTTTTCAGTGCATGCTCTTCTTAGACTACTCCTATTATGTTATTGTGGCCCCTACAATAATTTTAATTTTAATTAAGAAATTGCACTAATTATATACAATTATGATTTAACATGCGCCTCTTCTGCTTAATAGGGCTGCCATATATAATATAGCTACTTTAGAAGTTTGATGTTGTTGAGCTCTACTCTCACTTATAGTACAAAAAACTTACTTCAAAGTTTGCACCAATGCTACTTTTAATTCGAAGTTTCATGTTTGTCGCGGCAATGGAATCGATGCCATACTTGTGGAGTGCCATGTTTAGGTCTAGTTCTGAAATTTCACTTCCCGACCATGAGCTGAGCAGACGTTTAACAAAATCTTGAACGTAATTAACTCTAAACTCTAGCGGCTGTAGTGCTAGGTCTTCCAACTTCATAACATCGTCAGCAACCACCATGGTTTCATCTCGCTTCTGTTGCAATCTTGGGGAAGTATTTTTCTTAAGATAAACTTGCCAATTCACAGGACATACACAGACTTGAGCTTCGTTAAAATTTTGAAGAATAATAGCCTGCATGAATTCAATTGCTAAAAAGGTAAAATTTTGGAAAATAAAACACAGCCATAGCAGTATTTATCCCGGAGCCGTTTTTTTTTCGAAACCTATATATATTATATGAAAAATAGTTGGAACTAATATATATATATATATATATATATATATATATATATATATATATATATATATATATATATATATAAATAAAGCGAAACTTAAATATATAAAGCTATACACATGTAAATGATTTAGATATTGTGAAGAAGACTCGAAGTACCGAGTCGAAAGCTCAATAAAAAACAATTTTAAATCCGGAGAACATTCATTGACAAACAATATATATATATATATATACCTATAAATTCTGGCGATGTCATGTTAAAAGAATGGGGAATAGCCCTAAAATAGCGACTTACTGCGTCGTATTTCGTTTCAAAATTAAATTAAATGCTGAATGAACTTAGCTGGGCCTTAGCTGGCTGCACACATATTTCTGCATTTGTCTATTTTCACTAAATACCTTTTGAATAACGAAGGGGGGTTAATCCGTACGTTTCTAGGATGGATGTAATATTATTTTTTCTCTCCAGCACCCCAACGCCACTAATCGGCCCCCAGTTAATAGACAAGGCAGGCAGTCCAAGTGTGTTTCGACGATATTCGCACAGTTGATCCAAAAAGGAGTTAGCTGCAGCGTAAGATACTTGGCCAGCATTACCAAGAACCCCGGATATTGAGGAAAACATAATGAAGAAATCTAGATCCATCGAAAGACTGAGTTGGTGAAGAATAACACTTCCTATTTAAAAGAAGTAAAATTTTGTAGGAAATAAGAAAGTTGCTTTGCTAAAACTTTTGAACAGTTGTATGTTCAGAACTCAATATTAAACATTTAACATTGGAAAATTAAACATTCCATTTAACAGGGAACAGCTAGAGTAGCCCATGGTTTTGACCACAATCGCATGTTTAATCTCAGAAATATTTTATAGACTCAAACTATGATTCGAACTATGCAAAATAAAACATTTACTACTTGCTTGCTTAGTAAAATGTGGACTCAAGTTAATGTTGGTGTGTTTTACAGCTTTTATGTTATAAATACAACTCAGGCGTTTTACCATAATGGCCATGAAACGTCATTATATTGCGTTCACACGACCATCTTAAGTACTCGAGAAAAAGTAAAATACCGGCTTCATTTTTAGTGGAAAATTTTGAAAATAATTTAAGCTGAGAAAATAATCTAATCGTAAAATTTGAAATACATCATGAATTCCTGATACCAGTAGTGAATTTCAGTGAGGTTTCTAGAACAAATTCTGACGTTTAGCAGTCTAAATTGTCACAAAAAATGTATGCATGTCGAACCTTGTATTTTAGTTCCCACAACTTTTCTGCATGTCTTTAGGTCAGCCTTAATAAGCAATTGATCAACTAATACCATAGCAGTAAACACTATTCCGGCTACTGAAGGCAATCTTTCTAGTTCACTCTTTATTACATCCATTTCTTTCCATGATGTCACGTCTGCTTGGCGTAGAATTATACGAGATGCCGTTTTCTTCTCCAAACGTTGGACCTCCGCTATCTTTTCTTCACTTGGCGCTGAGCGAGCTGTACACACGACTGTTTTCGCCCCATTTTCAACCATCCATCTTGCGACCTCGAATCCAAAACCACGGACACCTCCAATGACAAGGTAAGTGCGATCTTTTTTTAAACCATTGTCGTCAAGCGGTAAACTGTAAAAATCAACTTGATCAGGAATAGTCGTAGGTTTTAGAGAAACTGTTTTTAAACCAAATTCCTTCTTGCTTTCAACATCAGACGCTTTCTCTATGCATTGCTTATTAGATTCATCGCGGAACACCGTAACTTCGTATATGCTGGAAGCTTCTTGAGGTATACTCAAAAGGTTTTTCCAGAGTCCTTTCGATTTCAGAACTGAACAACACGAGTGCAATAATTCTGAAAAATTCCCAGAGTTTTCAGTGATGTTTTGTAAACTGGTCAAAATAAAGCGGACATCATTCATGTGAATCCAGGGGTTAAGCGTCACAGTTTTTACACCATTGAGAGTACTTGAAATTACAGTACCTTTTGGTTTCAGATGTTTCACTATTTGACGTGTGACGTAAGTACCGATTCTACTGAGAAGGCAAACGGCATCTAATTCCCCGAGACAAACATCCATTTGTACTGATCTTGTTATTTCCTCCTTTGTTATAACCAAGAGTTTTCCGAATTGCTTTATTCTGTTTTTACTTGATTTATTTTCCACAAGACACACAACCTTCTTATCCATGGAGGCTGCGACGCAAGCGAAGATGAAACACACTACTTCATTTTGGTGATAGAAAAGGACATTTATTTCCCCTTCCAAATCACGAAGAATATTTGCGATAATATGGTAGGACATTGCCATTGGGAATCCAATCGACGCAGCTTGTTGTGCTGTAAAATCGACATTCATCTCTGTGAAAGAGCACTTCTCTGCGGCAACGAAACTTCCAAGATCGCTGACTTTACATACACCAACAACAAAGGAGCCGTGGTTTTCCTTGTGTCCATTACATACTTTTCCACTTATTGAAACACGATCATTCATTCTCAGATTCTCCCAACGTTCGTGAAGGATAGGGCAGACAGAGTGGATTTCAATTTGCATTTTTTCTGTAACCCACTCCGCCCCTTTCTGTAGGAACAACTGACCTGATATATTTGCCATCGTGACCTGCTTTCTTGTCCCATCTTTATAGAAGGGCGATTCTCGTTTCGTAATTTTAGTCTCGCCAGGGTCAAACGTCTTAATACGATTGACATACCGTACACCATTTCGAAAAGCAATTTCTTCTTCCAGCACAGTGTTTTCAAACTCTTGTAACATTGCATGAAAATCTTCGTCGGTAGGCTTGGCAGGCAAATCGATTACTGAGGCAGCAGGGACAGCGATTTCTTGTGAGAAGGTTCTTCTGAATCCGAGGACAGAGGCAGACCATGGAAATGTGCTGGTTGGAGTTTGATGGTAATCAGGAATTGAAACCACTCCTGATGTGACAAAAGTGAGATGAATATTTTCGAGTAGAGCCTCTCTTTTTAAAATTTCTTGAGAAATTGAAAGACAACTCTCGAACGCAAGACTGTGGACAATGCCAAAATTGTTTGCATCCGCGTCAAATTTGCTCGCATCCACAGGCCAGAAATTGATCACACGCCACTTTTCATTGCCTTTTATCTTCCCAAGTAGTTCATCTAGTGCATGAGAAAACGCGTCACGACATTTATCTGAGGTATCATGAGCATCAAAAAAGTGAACAGAATCGCATTGGGGAATATGTTGTGTAAAACGTTCAGCAAACTCGCTTTGGTCTCTCAGAATAAGCCAAATGTAGTCCTGACCACCTCTTAAAGATCCAGTCGCCATCTGTTGCCAACCAAAAGTGAATGTGGCGTTATCAAATGTTACTTCCTCTTTGTCTAATAGAATTTCCACCGTTATGAACTTCTCAATAATCATCACAGCTTGGCCATATTGATCCATAAGGGTAATATTGTAGGTTGGCGTTTTTCCAGAACTTACGATCTTTGCCTGAGCATAAAACTGTTGAGTGCACCTTGAATTTCGCAAAATTGTGATGTTGGTAATCTCTTTAGGAACATATTTACCAGCAATACTTTTTAATAGAAGGGTTGTCTGCAAACATGCATCAATTACACAAGGGTGCATAACATATGCAGATGAATTGATGATCTCTTCAGTTGGAATGATAAGAGAAAGCGCTTCACTGCCATTAGACCACCCCTGGCTAATCAAATCGAATCGAGGACCGAATGCGAAACCCACATCTTCACGGACCTTTTGAACATCTGCTTTTGACCATTCTTCCATTGCAGATTTGAGAACTTCGATGGCGTAGAGATTCTCTTCCGGAGAGGCTTCTAAAATGAAAAATCGTTAGACAAAAGTAAACGAAAAAAAGTATCTTAAAACAAGTCGGTTAAAACTTCAGGACAAATGTTACCTTTCGACGAATGCTCGTCATCAATGCCAAGCTGAATGGAACCTTGAGAGATGACTATCTCTTCCTCATTGCTTTCTACAAGTGTGATCTGAAATGGTTTGTCTTCACCCGGTGATTTTCCAGGTAGAAGACGTGTTCTTATCCTGTATGAATCGTTGTTGGAAATGGTCAGAAGATGATCAAAGCTAATGTTCCGTATATCTGGCAGTGACCGTGGAGATAAATGCAATGACATTGCAGCTATCATCTCAATATAAACCGTTGAAGGTATCACCGGGTTTGGTGATTGAGAGAATTTGTGATCTTCGATGAATGAAACATTGTGCAAGTTGATTTCAGATTCCCAAGCATGTAGTCCAGTGAATCTTTCTGTCGGGACAGTTTTGCCCAAAAGAGGATGAAAAGTAGCGGATGTCTTGCTTCCTTTATCAGTGTTTTGCTCCACGAGGAATGTAACGAACTCAGGCGGATACGCATCGCGGTACCAAAACTCCTTCTCTTGCCAAGGATATGTTGGACGAGGGCAAAATGATTTTGATCCTGAGCCTTGTATTTTATTCCACGACAGTGATACACCATTCACAAAGAGACGAGCCACACAATTTTGAAGAAATGACAAGTGCTGACCAACGACTGATCGTTTTGACAGAGTTTGAACAACAACGATGTCATTCGATTTCAGAGATCCTGACTGATGACTGTCAGACCAAGTTCGACGAACGTGGTGCGAAAGCTGAGGCGCTGCATTAATTTCAATGAAGAAGTTGTGATCATCGGAAAACATATTTTTCAATGCTGACTCCATTTGAACCGTTTGACGAATGTTACACCACCAATGCTCGAGTGACAGGAGATGACCAGATAACTGGGAGCCAGTAACAGTTGAATAAAATGGTATATCGCTTTGAGTTTGACGAACGTTGAATTTACTTGTGAGTTTAAAGTATGCTTGCTTTATTTCATCCATTTCACGGCTATGGTACGCTCGTGTTGTAGTAAGTTTCCTCAAAAATATGTCTCCTTTTTGACTTGATACATGGTTTTCAACAATATCTAAAGATCTTTTGTTCCCAGATAATACAACATTACCAGGACTGTTAACGACAGCAACATCAACTTCATCCTCCAATTGAAGATCTTGCAACATACGTCGCACGTCTTCTTCTGACATGCCGATGGCAACCATACAGCCTGTTGGGGAACATTTTTCGTGAAGTTGAGAACGAAACAGAACCAATTGCAATGCTTTATTTAAAGGCAATGCGCCGGACGCCCAAGCTGCCGATATTTCTCCAAGACTGTGACCAACTACGGCAGACGGTCGTATACCCCATGAATTCAGTAGCTCGGTTAAAGCAAAGTGTAAGGCAAACAATGCCGTCTGTCCAATTGGGTTTTCATCAAGTCGGGAGGCTTCCTCGGGTTTGTTGAGCTCCGTAGTCAAGGACCAAGGAGCGTTGTATTTTTTAAGAAGTGCATCAATCTTTGCAATGCTCTCCTTGAAATTTGGCTCGTGAACTAACATTTCTTTTGCCATACCATACCACTGGGTGCCTTGACCGCCATAGAGGAATACAACTTTATTTCGTGGTTTAACAACGTCGCCGGTAGCAACTAACTCTTCCCATCCATTGGTCTGGCTGGCAAACATATCTAAGCCTCTCGCTGCATCTTTCAATGAATAAAAACTAATCGCCAAGCGGTGTGATTGCATGGTGTACCTCTCATTGAGGGAATAACAAAGATCATCTTTAAGAAGCTCAACGTCATCAAACTCCTTCTCAAGTATTTGGGACACTTTTTTAGCCATTACTCTCAATGCATCTTTCGACGCCGCTGACAGCGTCAGAACTCGGTTACATGAAGTTTTCATAGGAACAATAGTCGCTGGCTTCTGAGTAACTTCTCTGACAATCGCATGGGCATTTGCACCACCGAAACCATACGAAGAGACCGCGGCAGTTCTTGGTTTATTATCTTCAGTTTCCCAAGGTTCATTACGCACTTGAACTACCATCTTGCGTTCAGACATTTTAAGCTGCGGTTTAACTTGATGCACGTTAACAGTCGGGACATATTGAGCATGTTTTATCATAAGACATACCTTGATTAATCCGGCTAAACCTGCTGTTGACTCCGTATGGTTTATGTTCGATTTCACCGATCCTACACGAAGTACCCTGAGACTGCTGTTACCATAAACGTCTGCCAGTGATCCCATTTCGACCACATCTCCAACAGCTGTACCAGTACCATGTGCTTCCACGTAACTTATGTCGTCCTTAGACAAACCAGATTCTCGAAGGACTCTTTCAAACAAAGCGGCTTGTGTTACCTCACTAGGAGCTGTCATTGGGATTGCTGTTTGACCATCGTTATTCGTACCACACGCTACAACTTCCGCATAAATGTTATCTCTATCATCTAAAGCTGTTTGGGTTGGTTTAATTATGATTGCGGCCACACCTTCACCCCGCCCATATCCGTCTCCTTTTATGTCAAAACTTTTGCAACGACCATCTTCGGCTAATAACCCAGTTCTACAGCATGCCGTGTGAAATTTATTTCCAACGAGAAGTATGTTTGGCGCACACACTATCGCTGCGTCACATTCATCATTTTGTAAGTGTAGAAATGCGATGTCCAATGCGACCAAAGACGAAGAACAAGCTGTATCCATCGCTAAACTAGGACCGGTTAGGTTCAACGAAAAAGAAATGCGGTTAGCTATTACTGACAAGGCAGAGCCAGTAGAAGAGAAGTGATCGATTTTTCGAATATTTGACGGATCCATTACAAGAGCGCCGTATTCTGTGTTCATCGACCCAACATAAACACCAGTTCGACATTGTTGTAATTCTTCAAGACGTATGCCAGCGTCTTCAATCGCTTCAAAGACAACTTGAAGAAGTATTCGCTGTTGGGGATCCATTGAACGGCACTCGCTTGGGGATATTCCGAAAAACTGAGCATCAAATCCTGTAATATTTTCAAGAAAAGAACCAGTAAGAACATAATGTTTCCCTGGCGTGTTCTTTCCAGAATTATACGTATCTGTGAACTCCCTTGCGTCCGGCCTGTTCGTTGGATAGGAGCCAATGCTACATCGACCTTCCAGCAGCATATCCCAAAACGAATCTTTTGAGTTTGCACCACCGGGAAATCGGCAGCTGATTCCGACGATTGACATTGGAGCAAATTTTGATTTACGGACTGACCTGGAGCCTACGCTTCTACTTTTACCGGATTTGTCTTTCTTTGTATGGATGAACCATTTTATGATAGACGAGTCAACGTTACTTTTACGAAAGTCGAATAGCTTTCCTAATAAAGCCAGGTATACAGGTAAAATAACTAAACCATGGATTAGACCAAGAATAACGATACCAACAAACATCTTGAAAAATGTTTGAAATACTGTGGACGAAGAAAATCCTGTTGGCATCATCCCAAGAAATGTACTTAACCCTCCTAGGAAAACACTACCACCTACGTTTTTCAGAGCATCGATTACACGAAGTTCAGGAGTAGTGGCTTTCGAAGAAACAAAGTGAAAAGCGACATGTGCGTTGTAATCCACCGAAAAGCCTAAAGCCATAACAATATTTAACATGGACAGCGAGTTTAGGGAGACATTCCAAATAAACATCAGACCAAATAGTTCGATTATAAGAGCAACAAATCCCCACATGAGACAAAATATTATGACAAAGTGATTAAGGAACATGCACGATATCAAAAGGATTGAAATTCCAGCGACAATTAAGTTTCTAATGGTTTCATCCAGTACATATGCATATTGTTCAAAGTATGTGAAAGGCAGGGCAATAGCAAATGCTTGAGCATACGCGGAATTGAAGAGATCGTTTCGAATACTGACCATCATATTTCTCTGAAAGGTTGAGTCCGGATCATCCTTGGAATATATTAAGAGCCTTGAAGCTTTCAAATGAGCTTTATCCTCAGAAAATATAAGATCCTGGGCGAATCGTTTATACTTCGGAAGTGAAATGAATTCCTGTAGGTAATGATAGAACATTCTCGTGTTATTAATCTCGATGTTTCTTTTCTGTGCCCAGGAAATATACTCAGATAGCCACGATTTCCTTCCTGCAACAAAGTTTTCATTACGCCTAGCAAGATTTTCTACATGGGTGTATATTTTCTGAATTTCAGCACTCGACTGATAATCCTGTTCTGCAAAGATGATATTCACCTCAATATTAAGATGAAAGTTTTTTTCTATAACATTTAGGAATTCTCGGTAATATGAATTTTCAGTTGTTAACAATTTTCTATTAAAACTCTCGTCGATGTTGCGAGCGCCATAAACCCCAAAAGAAAGGAGAAGTATTGAAACCAAAACGACAAAAACTTTTCCAGTAGGTGTTATTATAATTTTTGCCCATGCTTTCATAACTTTGTCAAATCCACTTCTACGAATTCCAAAGCAACAATCAGTGGGAGAGGGACTCATTAAGCAAGGCAAGAAGTCTCGGCGTCGACTGTTTATTCTTTTAATATCGAACCACATACAAACAACAAAAAATGTCAGCAGCAGAAGGAAAACAGATGAAATTGCAAGAGCTGCGTATGTGCAGAAAATACGAATCGACGGGAAAATGGAACGACAACTCACGGCAAATGCTACGAGATCTGTGAGAGTAGTCATGGTAATTGTTGGACCACTTCTAGCCATTGTCCCACTAAGCATATGAATTGCGGGTATATTCTGACGGATTAACTCATTCAGTTCGTGTACGATAATGAAAACATCATCTATGCCAATGCTAACGACCAAAAATGGTAAAACCCCAACCATACTGATAAAAGGAACACCAACAATCATTAGGAAGCCAAGGGAACTCGTGACCCCCATATAAATGGACAACAGGGCACTGAATCCTAGCAATTGATGGCCATAACGAGAGTCCGCGCATCTTCCATTCACAATACTACTAAGAATTCCCATGATTGTAAATGTTACTGCAAAAAACTTAATATCAGATCCAGTACTTTCTGACACTGAGTCGTCCAAGCTTCGTTCTGCAGCATAAACAACATTTATACACGTGGCATTTTTTGAAAAAGATGACATTTCATTCAAAAATGTCTTTTCCCACTCCAAGATTTCCTCCCTGCTCTCTTCTCCTCTATCATGTTCTCTCATTAAATAAACCATTCTCAAAGCGTTCGTGGAATTGAGTGAATCATTATAAGCTGTATTACCAAAAACGTGGTTAAAATTATCTAATAGTCTTCTCCCATTAGACATAAGAAAGGCGTCATTCTGGAGTACGGTTTCAATACGTTGTGTAATATTGTCAACTAGGTTCTCCTTTTCATAATCAAAAATTTCTAAAAGATTTATTGAAGAACAGATGCTATTGGAGACTGGTCTGTAACAAAGTTCGCCGTAATGCTCTATCCCAATTATGATGTTGTGTAGATCAATCATTTCTGCCAAACACTCTTTCGACAGAACGGACTTGTCATGTTTAGGCAAAACAATAACCTCTTCTTGTCGTACTTCGAGTTCAAATCCTAGACGTCTTGCCCTTCGTATATCTTGTGAAGTTTCACTGTTTTCTGGTAGATACAAATATTTCACATTATTGTCAACTTCTATTTCTATAAAGCCACATGTTAAGGCAATGGTGACGAACAGGCAACAAAACATTACGTGAAATGGTCGTTTTGATATAAATATAGCAGATATTTCAAAGAGCTTTTCAAGAAATATGATCCAAATCTTTTGTAACCATGCCCATTTCTGTAGAATTGCAGGTATGAAGCAAGAGCTTGAACTTTTCTTAGAAGTGTATTCTTCATGCGCACTGCCATTATCACCGGAGGCGCTGTGGCCTTCTTTGGAATTGATGCTGTCAACAATATAGACAAAATAACCTTAAAATATTATTACTATCAAAGGTCAAAGTTTATATTGTCTGTGGTTTCCAGGTCGTTATATTTTGTTTTATGTGACCTATGATACAAAAAATCGGGGTTTTCTCTACCACGTATTTCTATAAAACCCCTGTACATGCCGTACACGCTTTAGGGTCACAATTTTGAAACCTTTATTTACGCGCGCGATTCTGAAGGTTGGGACCTAATTTAGAAAATGTGTGAGTTTATATTACGATTTATTGGCATTCAGATTCCATTGACATATTTTTATTCTCTCATTATATCATAAGAAGAGAGACTAAATTATCGCATTTCCCTGAACTAATACGCAAATGAACATGTTTCGTTAATTATTGCGAACAACTTAGACTTTCTCGCATTCTTCTTGTAATATCAGGAAGATTAATTTCGGCAGTCATATCCCTTTTGAGAAGGCGCCTGACCTTTTCCCTTAAAGAATATATGGGACACGTTTTTTTTATTATAAACGACAGATCCGTATTGTCTTTCTAAGTTATGTGCATATACACACCTTTTTTGTCCAAGATACGACATGTATTATGGTGTGTTTCCCGACACAGCCAGGTGCGTCCCAAAATACACCTTAAGGTGTGTTTCTTGCTTGTCCAGAATTTGACACACCACAAGGTGCATTTCGCAAAAGGTGTGTTTTGGAACACACTAAGGTGTGTTTTGAGACACACACCGCTAGGCGGTGCAAGGTGTGTTCTGGAACACACTAAATTATGCTAAAGATGTGATTTTTTCAAATCTTTCAACGAGAACTTCATCAAAAATTTTTTAAGGCGATTGGCAATTTTCTGAAAATGATGACAGGAGTGTACGGGTGAGTCATTGATATCGACCAGCTTTATTGTCTGTCTTTATTGGCTTACGTCACAATTATAACAAGTAAGCGGCGCAGACGAGAGACACTGCATTGTGATGGCGGGCAAGAAAAATATCACTACACTTAATTTATCGCAACGGCACGTCTAAAATTAGCCTGATGCATGCTAGTCTAAAAAGGGAACCAGCGCCAATTTTATTTGTGCCTGGCCTTTGTATTGTTAGCCTCAACACAAAAAAAAAACTCCTCAACACCAAAAAAAACTTGTCACGGGATGACCTATTTTATCCGGCATGCTGTGGCAATAAATTGTGTGTAGTCTAAACAGTGCTTGACAATGCTATTACTGCATGTAGTTAATTCTTCGCGCTAAAAGGAAAATTAGGGAGTTTAATTAATTGGAAAAAAACAGGTTAAATGTTGTTCGCCACGATGTCATATTGCATAAGTACAAATGCCATATTAATACATCGCCCATTTGACGTACGCGTTTGATAGTAGGGAAGCATATGTTTTTTTGCTACAGCTAACTCGACAGGGACGTTTAGCTACATATTATCTCTATTTTATTGATAGTTTTAGAACAAAATTTTGTTTGCCCATTTTTGTTACACTTTCCTGACAGCACATCCGCCGCTTTGCCAAGTTTATTGTTACAAATCTGGTAAAAGTTAAAATTCGGGACATTGTACAATTCAAAAATTCGGGCGATTTTTTCCCCTCCAAAATAAGTTACGCCCGTACGCCTATGGAAGTTGCTGCAAAAGTATATAAGGTATATAAGGTATGATAGCTATGCTGTTGTATCATATAATAAGCAATTGAGTCGTAAAATTTTGTGAAGGCAAGAAATAATTTACAAATATAATTCATGGGATTCTGTAGTTTTTTTACGCCAGCAAAAGCAGATGTTTTTGAAAAAAATAGATAATGACGAGGTTTGCCACAGCTTCTTGCAAACGATGTTCGGACGTTTAGCCGGACGAAAAGGATGAAGGAAAAGCTTTTGAACATATATAAACAATAATAAATTGTTGTTCATTATTCCAAAAGCTTGTATAATATTGAAAACTGGATTTATGTTCATAGCCCCAAAAAGAAGAATTAGTTATCCTGTCAAAAGTTCATTGCCTTGATGTCAAGCCAGGTTTACTTGCTTCTTTCAGGCAGAACATTTCAATAAAATTGCTTTATCAATATGGCAAAATTACCGGTTTCATAATATTTAGGCAACATATTAAATTGCTCGAGTTACCTTTCTTACACTAGCAGGCCTAAAAATTTTATTTTAGCAGTACCCATTTTTTTACCTAGGATTTCCTATAGGAAATAATAATATAGGCTTATTCCGATTCCATTAGGTTTTGCCATAGGAATTCCTATAGGAATTTGAATGTGAATAAATTTTCCTGTAAGAATTTTAGATTCCT